ATACAGGATACCTAGACTCAAGGTATATTGTAGGTATCGTAGAATTCTCTTCAGTTTGACTACAGCAGCTTGTGTTGGTTTCTCCAAATTTCTGGAAACTACACTCACTGCAAAAGCAATGTCAGGTCTGCTTCCGACCATTAAGTAAGCCAGAGCCCCAACTATTTGTCTATAGCATTTAAGAAAATATTCATCTATTTTTTCAGCTCTTTGTGGAGTATCTTCTTTTATCATTGGAGTCGTCACTGGCCTACATTCTTGCATTCCAAATCTATGTAAGATTTTCTGGGTGTAAGATGTCTGATGAATCAATAAACCATCTTCTCTACTCACTATCTCAATTCCGAGAAAATAACCGACTGATTTCGTAGTTATTTTAAATTTCTGTTTCAGTTGCTCCAGAAAACTATCAATCAATGCTTGACTGGTAGCAGCCACCAGTCCGTCGTCTACGTACAATGCGACTATCAATTTCTCTTCGCCATTTTGTTTTTTAAACAGACATGGATCTGCTTCACTGACTTGGAACCCAGTATCTTTGAAGAAAGTCAGTATTGTGGTATTCCAGCATCTGGGAGCTTGTTTTAACCCATAAAGACTTTTTTTAATAAACAAACTCTACCCGAACCATCTTCATACCCTTCAGGCTGTTTCATGTATATTGTCTCATGTGACAAACAACCGTACAGAAAAGCTGTGGAAACGTCGAATTGACGCATTTTCATCCCTTCGTTTGCTGCAATACTGAGAACTGAACGAACCGTCGCCATTTTTGCAACAGGGCTAAAGGTTTGGTTGTAATCTACTCCTTTCTTTTGACGAAACCCTTTAGCAACCAATCTAGCCTTGTATTTATCTATGGATCCATCAGCGTTCAGTTTTATCTTAAAAACCCACTTACATGGAATCGCCTTTCTGTTTTTCGGTAACTTCTCCAGACTCCATGTACAGTTTTCTCTCAGTGAATCAATTTCACTATCCATTGCATCCTTCCATTTTTTTTTATCAGGGCAGACTATTGCTTCTTTATAACTAGTTGGCTCAAAGTGTTCTTCGGTATTCATGACAAAATCTTTGAATCTAGCAGGTTGTCGAAGCCTTGAACGATCTCTTAACACCCTATCAGATTGTTCATTCACCAATTCTTCCATAGTGTCTTCATATTCAAGATCAACATCAGTTTCATTCTCAACAGTAACTTCTGTTTCGTTCTCAACAGTAACTTCTGTTTCGTTCTCAACAGTAACTTCTGTTTCGTTCTCAACAATAACTTCTTCGACATCTTCAATCTCCCCCCTAGATTCAATAGTTATGTCCTTATGAGAGAATGCGTTATCAAACTCACGTTCATTGCTGTCAAGTTCAGGTTCCATATCAACCATACCTGGATCATTCATAATGGAATCTTCTTCTCTGATTTCAGACTTCGTTCGTAGTTGAATCTCTGTTTCCGTCATTAACGACTGATCTTGAACGTCCTCAAGTTTTGACAAAATAGACTTTTCATCAAACGTCACATCTCTCGACCTTACTATAGAGTTAGTTTCTCTGTGCCATAGTCTGTATCCATCGTCGTTATCGTAACCTACTAGCAGGCACTTTTTGGCTTTCTTATGTAATTTCTTCCTACTTACTTTAGGAACATGCACGTAACACACTGATCCTATTATCCTCAAGTGCGTTATTCGAGGTTTCTTCCCTAACCATATCTCAAACGGAGATTTGTTTTCCACTGTGGTTGGTCCTGTTCTGTTAAGAATATATACAGCAGTATATACCAACTCAGCCCACAGAGACTCAGGAAAAACTTCACGTGCATGCATCATCGTTCGAGCCATTTCGACGACAGTCCGATTATCTCTTTCACAACACCCATTTTGCTCAGGTGTATAAGGACATGTTAGTCTATGCTTAATACCTTCTTTTCTTAAAGTATTTTCAAATCTTCTGTTAATAAATTCGCCACCATTGTCAGTCAACAATTCCTTAATAACGTAGCCGTGTGTCTTCACCAAAGCAAGCATTTCCTCCAGCTTCTCTGGAACTTCAGATTTGTGCTTTAAGAAATAAATGAAGCGAAATTTCGAGTAGTCATCCTTAAAGAGTAGAAAGTACCTTTGTTTCGACAAAGAAGGCGGAAAGGGACCACAAACATCAGCATGCATTATTTCACCAGGCGATTTGGCTCTTATCCTTGTGCCAAACTGACGTCGATGCGCCTTACCGAACAAACAGCCTTCACATAACTCTCCTGTATAAAGATACAGACATCAAGATTAAAGAATCTTGATGTCTAATTCTCGCTCGACTAGACTTTTCACATGTCGCTTATCTTGGTGGCCCATACGTTCGTGATATAACTGCAATTTATTCACAGCATTAACAGATGCAATTATTTTAGGTTGCACCGCTGTGCATTTCAGCTTATATAGTCCACCAAACATCTGTCTTTGTCCAGTTACTATAACCTTTTTGTCTATCTCCAACATGCATGAAGTGACCGCGACTGGAACAGGCTATATGCGTTTTTGTCGTGTGCTGCCAATACCGAAAACAGATTTCTTGTTATACTCGGTACAAACCAAACGTCTCTTAGAAAGAATTCTTCACCATTAGCTTTCATTCTAATTGAGCCTTTTCCTACAGCTTGAACAACGTTACCATTTGCAGTAGTAACAGTATGACGTTCATCAAAGTGTATGAAATCCTCAAAAAAGTCTTCACGCATCGTAATAAGGTGAGTAGCCCCGTTGTCTACGTACCAAGACTCACGATCAAGACTGGATTCCACAAAGCTGCTGAAGATATTCATATTGGTGCTCGTAGTGCGTTCAGCCGAACTCATGCTACCACCATTTTTTTCTTTCTTTAGAGGACAGTCCTTTCTGATGTGTCCCACTTTCTTACAAATGTAACATCTGACTTTAGATCCTCCGTTTGATTCCTTCTTGGCTCGTGCCGATCCTTTCGTTTTCACTATCAATGCTTCACCGGACTTACTGGATTCTCCCTCTAAACTATTTCTTAACGCTCTTTCATGAGAGCATAATTGGCTTGTGATGTTCTCGACAGTACGATCCTTTTTGGACATCAACATCCAACTCGACTTGAACGAAAAATATTCCTCTGGCAAAGTGTCCAAAATTTTGCAAATTAACAAAAAATCTGGTAATCTTTTTTCTTCATTCTTAGCTAACTCTAGGTGCAGCTTATGCCAAATATTTTTAATCTTGGAGATGTGTGTTGATATATTTTCCGTGTCCATCTTTTTGTACTGGAAAAATTCAATACAAGTTTCGTATAATCTGTCATCTGTTGAACCATCAAATATTCGATGTAGCTCGTCCCAAACATCTTTCGGGTTTGTGAATCTAATAACTTTATCCAGTGTCTCATCTGATATATTATTTGTTATCAATAATAAGGCAATACTTTCCTGAGTACAGTATTCCTTCAGACGTTTTTCATACAGTGCATTAACAGCCGCTGCATCACCGTCACCACCACCAACTGCCGTTCGTTCAGGTTTCCGAACAATGCCCTCCACAATATCCATAATTCCGTCCATGCCGCGGAGTACCGCCGACATACGGTATTTCCATGGTATCCAATTGTTCGCATTTTCGTCAAGTTTTGGAATCTGCATTTTACTTAGCTCCATATTTCTCAGTGAAATAAGCCCATAACCACTTAGCACAGTACGTTTCTAGCAGGAGCTAACTGGGCAGTAGGTAAATTAAAGATAATTTAAAGAAAACGATATATATTAGGCACACATAAAGAATAGCAATTTTTATAATAACAGAGTTTTGTTTTATTCTGACAACATTACTCAATCGGTTTTGACAACGCAATATAACAAAGGAGTTTACTCTATTACCCAAAACCACAGATCTGAATTCAAAAGTTTACCGCCTTATTCCAAAACGCGGTCTAACATTAGTCTCGGTTTAAACATACCTATAATAGTGGTTCTTCTGTCTTCTTTTTAACAAACAAAAGTGCCAGTAGCAGTTTTATTCCAGGTTTAACTTTGGTCTACGTTTTGTTATAAAGCCATAAGGAATCAAATTGATAAACCACACTGTCAATAATGCAACATTTACTGATAAATACAGATCGCGCAGTTAGTAATAAAAATGTAACCTTTCCCTTCCTGTTTTCTTCTAACAACGCCACCTTCAGTGACTAAGTGAAACTGTTTGTTTCTTTTTTTGTTCAGCACTGCCATCTAGTAACAGAATGTTATAGCAACAGTTAAGCTGTGTACACATGAATAAAATAACACATTAAAGTAAAGACACTAAACAGCGGTTTATTCTTATCGTGATCCTTATCTCAAAACAAATAGCCACGTGACACGCCAGGGCTAAGGAATTTAACAAGTATAAACATTCCTTGGCCATCACTCACCAATTCACCATGAATTACTTGTTTTGATAAGTGATCAAGAGTAATATCAAAGTTTCTATTGATATGCACTTATTTTACGGATCTGTTTTAATACTTATTTACAATAATCAACGGAAATAACAATAAAATTCATTAGACTGAAACTATACGCATTGAAAAAGTTGCCTATAATCTTCTCTATGATGTTTTTTACATCTATCTGTGCATTTGGACTATTTTGTCTATGCTTCAGTCTATTATTTTTTTGCGCCTGCGCACTTGATGGTTTACGCGACACACATAAAATCATTTAGTGGAAAATTTGAAGTTTGTTATTAGTGACAACCTTTATTTTATTAATATTAATGAAAGCTCCGTGCTAATTACCCTTCCAAGCGCGAGGCTGAATTATGTGGTGACTGTCGCCCTGGATGCGTTCAGTCACTAATATTCAGTACGAGCGGTGTACGGACGGTGGCCATCTTGGAATCGAACAAAGCTTCAGATGTGTAGTTTGACTGTTTATCAATAATTTTTGTGCATTTTATTGTAAATAGTTTGTATGTTTAGGATATGTACGGAACGTTCGTCCATATGTGTAAATAGCTATGGCAGCGACAAGGAAATTACAAGGTAACTCGATGTTATCAGGTTAGAGATTGATTGACCCCAACCAATGTACGTACGTGTTCTAGAGCATTATTGTCAGATTGACGAGCCCATCGTACAGTTGGTGACGCTGAAGATGACCAGACTGCCAAATATTCCTAAGTTCACGTTTGTTCTATGAAACGCTTATAAATACCGTCCAATATGTTATGAATATTGAACGATTACACGTTCTTACCTGCTTTTAGTTGGAATCTTAGCTGATTCAATTTTGAATGAAGGTTGTTTCGAAACCTGATGATAACTGCTGTAGATAATGTACAAAACTCATTGTAAACGTTTTCTCGATTGCCTCACAAAATAGGTTTTGTTATTGACATAATAAAATTTCTACAAGAACTGGTTTTTCTAGATCAATTTATTAATGCAATTATTCTTATTGCAGGTGAAATAGACAGGTGTTTAAAAAAAGTAACAGAAGGGGTGGAGACTTTTGAAGATATCTGGCAGAAGGTTCACAATGCAACAAATAGTAACCAAAAGGAGAAATATGAGGCGGATCTCAAGAAGGAGATTAAGAAACTCCAGAGGCTACGGGATCAGATCAAGTCCTGGATCGCCTCCGGGGAGATTAAGGATAAGAGTACACTTTTAGAATATAGGAAATTAATAGAAACTGTGAGTGTTTTAAATGATTAATTGATTCAAGTTGTAGAAAGTGCTTTAAGTGAATAGTAATTACTTGTGTATTGGTGCTTCAACAACAACTACATAGTAAGTTGGCTAGTTTGTTAAATGGGGTGATGCTGACATGTCTACAGGCTATAAGGTTCGACTCATAGGTTGAAAAAATAAATGTTACAATTTGTCTTGATATTTGTACATTAGTTTATTCTAATGGGTACATTTATGAATTGAAATAGTTCTTTTTTAACTTATTTTGGTATTAATTTATTTGGTTCTATGTTCATGATAGTGACAAGTAATTAATACTAGTGGCCACCAGTGATTTTGCATTAACTAGGTCTTTGAGAATCCCTCGGGAATCATTTTTTTTATGGAATGTGTCCTATTCCTTATCCTGATATAAACTAACTGTGCCAAATTTCATCCAAATGTTGTTCAGTAGTTTTTGGGTAATTGGGTAACAAACTATCACATTTATAATATAAGTAGGACTAACTTCACCATTTAAAAAAGTTAAACCTAGACTAAACCTGATGCTGTCACTTTTGTTTACTAAAAAAGACAGAGATAACAATAGGTTTAAACCAAGACTAACTTTAGTTCACATTGGAATTAGGTGGATAAAGTTTCTTTGGTGTCATAATAAATTCTGGACGACATTTATTAAGTCCCAAACTAAGCAGAACTGTGGAAACTAAATTAAGAGTATAATGCATCGTGTTCATTATTAAGTTTTCACATGTTTATAAAAAAAATGACTGAAAAAGGGTTGGAAAAAGTCATAATTAATGTATGGTAGGAGAAAAAAATGGTTATTTTTTGCGACTTATTGGGAATTGAAAGGTTGGAAAACTAGTGTTTTTATTTAATAACAATATTGATTTCTCATTCAAAAGATATGCAATATTTAACATATAGCTTAGAAATATTTTGTTGTTTATTTTTTTGAAAAAAAGGAAAATTAATGGTTTATCCCCTAAAGTTTCATGCCTTAAGCTTTTCTTATATTACTATTTCTGTAACTTTCTCATAAATAAATGAGTGCCTTCTTTTCTAGCAAATGGAGAGGTTTAAAGTTGTGGAGCGTGAGACTAAAACAAAGGCATACTCGAAGGAAGGGTTAGGGGCAGCACAAAAACTGGACCCTGCCCAGAAAGAGAGGGAAGAAATGTCTGCGTGGCTAGTCTCATCAATAGATGCACTTAATTTACAGGTATAAATCCATATTCAATCATAAAAGAGACTTAAGAGTCTAGAGTTGAAAATTACCGAAAGTTTTGGTAAGAAACGAAATTAGGTAATTTAAGTTACTTTCAAAAATGATTTTATTTCTTACAAATGTGCGACAGCCGCTTATTTTAAACGCTTTTGTCTTCTTACCATTTCCAAGATAAGTTTCCCGAAGTTTTACGCTGTCAGCTAGAGACGTATTTATTAGGTAGTAGATACTGGTGTCAACTCTTGCTTTTTCTCTAAACTTAAAACTAAATTTAACATCAGTGTCTCCTTTTCATTCTGTATAGAGAAGGACAAGGATGCACTGTTGTCAAATTTAAGTTTAGCTTTAGAGAATCATGCCAGAATCGACATCAAAGTCTACTGAAAATACATAAAAAAAGACTAAAGGATGTACCTAATACTAATCAAGCATCCCAAAATGTATCTTACGTTTTGGGATGCTTTATTAGTTTTAAAACAATCATATAGGTATTTATACTACAGAATTATTTGAAAACAAGTTAGGTTACATAGAAATAAGTATGTTTCTGAGTGGTATTATATTTTTTAAGTGACGGGTATATGAATTCAATGTTAGTTTCAGTAAAAAAATATTTTGTGAAAACTTCCAAAATTGGAAACTTTCTGGAAACTTTCGCGAAACTTACCATTGAAAAGGAAAACTTTCGAGGTAATTTTCAACACTATTAGGGTCTCACTTATACAAGTCAATTAACTTGTAAGTTTGATGTTGATATCACTTTTTGATAAGAATAGAATGAGACAATATGTGATTTAATGATACATTAAAATATAAAATTAATTTGCCATTTCTGAGTATATTGTTGTGGCTTTTTTAAATCAAATTTCAATTGTATATTTAGAATCATCGCTCATAGTGACCATGTGGAAGTGGAATTGTATATTTTTATGTGGCATAGCTTAAGGCTGTGTAATTTTATTTTTGTTTATGTATGAACAAGAAAATATAAATGTTTTTCTCTACAATAACTGGCTATTCACATGTTAATTTTGTTTAATAAAACATATGATTTGAAACACATACAATACAAAAGATATTTTACAGTATGTACAACAACGCTGGTGTCCATTCTAAGATTATTTAATTAAAGAGGACCAATGACAACTTTATGGATGTAATGATATTTCATTTATTAATTAAATTGCTTTAATAACTTATAATTAAGTCTCTTTTCAGGTTGATCAATTCGAGTCTGAAGTAGAGTCATTGTTAGTTGGTAAGAAGAAACGATTGGACAAGGAGAAGCAGGATCGCATGGAGGAGCTCAAACTTAAGCTTGAGAAGCATAGGTTCCATATAAAGAAGCTCGAGACACTGCTACGCATGCTAGATAACATGTCTGTTGAAGTTGAACAGGTGAGAAAGTGCTGTATAGATTTTATAGATAGCATATTTTGATGCTTGATGAAATGACAGTGAGTTTACATTGGCTTTCGTTGTCTTATTATTCACTATGAATATGCATTTATAGTTTATTGGAAAGGATATGCAAGGTTTTCTTTTATTTACAACCAAAACCAAATCATTACTTTTATATTTGCAATGAAAGGTGATAATTGTTGCAATACCTATGAAATCCTTGGGGAAAATCATTAGTGACAATATACTACTCTTTTTGTACCCATTTAAAATTTGAAAGTATTGAATGAATCTTTCTTACTGTATTTGAGTATTTGGTTTCTTAGAAAAGCTTGTAGGATTTTAAATGTTTTAATTATTTAGGTGTGAAATTTAATAGTTATTTATTTGTAGCATAATAATATGGTCGGAGCACATCCTGATAAGTAATTCTGCATTGAGATTCTACATTATTGTAAAATATATTTAGTTGTTACTGTTGATACCTTTATTAGCGATCTTTATTGAGAAATGTCATTGATAAAATATGCTGACACATTAAATTGATTGTTGTGCAGTTTCGTACAGCAAGTTTGTTCTAGTGACACAGTAATTTCTTCATGAGTCAGCACCTCAATAGGCTACCTCTATTGAAATTTCAAACGTAAGCAGTAAGTAAGGCTGCAATCGATGTCTTTAAAAGCATTAGGGGTCACAAAATACATAGTGCAATATTGTGATTTTCTTATAAACATTAAAGGGGTTTGACAAATCATACTATAATGGGCTTGAATATTATTTGAAAAAGTGTCATTGAAAATTTTAAAAAATCTCTAAATGCAATAAAATGCTATAACATTGTTTAATAGTGACTTGGAAGTGTGTAAATTAGACTTGTATACTATGCCAAAGTTTCTCAAAGAATTGTAATCTGAAGTAAAGTGCAAAATAAAGCAAAGTTTATGAATTTGTCACTTAATGTAAACTTAATAAAAGTATAAATTTAGTAAACTATAGATTAGCATTCACTAAGATTGCATTGCAGGACCTGGAAGCCAATCGCCAAACGGGGTTGCTATGGCTGTCGCTATCGCTTACAATTTGTTTTAGTTATTTCTGACCGCCGAAGGTTTTCAAATGCCTCCCACTCTTTTTTTTTTTTGAATTGGTAATAAAAATATTAAAGAAATGAGTGTGAGGTATATGAAAACCTTCGGCGGATAGACATAGCAAACCCTTTTGGCGATTCGCCCACGATCCATTCTTTTTGTCTTTTACTTTTATTATAGAGAATGCCTGTGCCCCAACAATATGAAGACCAAAGATGATTATACTAACCAACATAACGTTTGCAGATAAAAAGGATAAAAGACGACGTAGAATACTACATAGACTCTTCCCTGGAGCCGGGTTTCGAGGAGAACGAATACATATACGACGACATCCGCGGCCTGGACGAGATCGAGCTTAGCGGGGTCGGTCTACCATCATCGGCCACCACGGACAGCAACAACAGCAACGACTCTGCGGGCTCCCCTACCAGCATACTGTCAGGTATAACACAGAACATACAAAACCCACCTTATCCTTTTCTTTTTATAGTGTCTTGCTTTGTGTGTAATAACAGTTCCACCGATGTCATGTTAGCTATTACATGTAAGGGAATAAAATAAAATCGGAACTTTGGATGGATATGGATTACTGCTATAAGCACTTAACTGTAACAATAAATGTGACACTCGGCACAAACCCACCTTATTTACCTTACATTTAAAACCTTTAGATTAATATCACTGTGTTGAGAAAGTAATACCATTTTATAACTAAAATACCTAGTTTATTTCTTTGAATGGCAGTTATGTTGATGTTAGGAGAAAATAGTGCCAAATGTGGAAGAATATAAGAATTACTTGACCCCGCGTACTTCGTACGGGTTACAATAATTTTGAAGAAATGACGGACCCGAGATTATCGTACCAAAAGGGATGAACGTCAAATGTTTGACATGAAAGAAGATAGAACAGTTTATATGGGAAAATTCAATTGACGTTTTTACTATCTTCCTCGTAATTTTTCCATATTTTCTCACTTTTTAAACCTTCCCTAGATCTCTACGAACATTTCAAGACTAAGATAAGATAAATCCGCTCAGCCGTTCTAGAATTTCAGCGAGACTAAGGAACAGCAATTGATTTTTTATTTATATAGATTTTATTCGTGTGACTTGATAATGTTTGTAAATTTATTTCAGTTAAATTTTATACATATCTTATTGTATACTCTACTTAATTGGCTAAAAAAAGTTTGTTGGGATAATTACGAATGGCACTTTAAATATCAGAATGAAATATATAAAACAGTGAGAGCTCATTCCCACTTGTAAAGTGTTGCCCAGATTTTAATTGGATGTTCCAGTGGCAGAGCATTTTATATGATTTCATGTCGGCTCTGACACAAGTTCAGTTTCTGACAAGTGTGATAGCTTCATAAAAAATGCTCTTCTGCTAGAACATCTGTTTTAAATCAGAGCTTGACAAGCTGGAATGAGCTCTAACTTATACCCTACTAACTCGATAATTTATTTCAGAAACTTACTACTAACTCTAATAAATATAAAATGAAACAAGATTGATATGATCAAATAAAATCTCTTATGGATTCTCATTCTTTATTTGGAGAGAGTAACAGCTTTCTTGTATTGTTCCAGGCACAAGTCCTATAACGTCTCCTACACTAGATGTCCACAATCACTCTACAGACTCCATAGACGTAGAAAAAAAGAAAAAGGAGGAGGTGATCGCGAAAGTGAGTAAGCTTTACCTGTATCGCCTCTCACCATCATTACACCTTGCCATCGATAACTTCAGTTTAATATTGACTCGTAGTTATGTGGAGTGTTGATGTGGATATTGTTTCAAAGTTACTCTTTATCTCTTATTAATTTTGGGTTTGATTTGGTATGGTACAAAATGTTGTTTACTAAAGCCTCAAAAGTATTTCATATACTTACTTATTTTACAGGTGTGTTTTACTGTGTGTAATTCACTACCCGAACAATCTTAGTTGAGCTTCAAAACTTTAAGCATTCTTAATGTTTTTTCACTCATCAAAATTCCTATATACATAGAAAAGATCCTAATAAGGTGGGTGGATCATAGAAGGCCACTTTCAACGAATAAAGAGCTTGTATTAGTTCATTTACTGGATAAATATAGAAAGAAACAAATTATTAATTAACACTTTGTTTTATTGTGTAACATATCAATTACTTTTCTCATTCTTAAGATTCTCATTAATATGGCATTAATGAAAATTATAAAATTTTCATGAATATATTCTGATTTATTAAAAAAATAAGTTATGACTATTAAAACAATAACAAATTACTTCCCAATGCTTGAATGAAATTATATATAACAAAATTGGGCTATAATGGCCTTTTTATGGGTCCATTCTTAAGGCCAAAATGATTCTAAGAAAGTCAAGTTGTATAACCCTTATAAATTATAATATTATAAACATAAAACCTTTGCGGTACATATTTATAACCATAAACAAAGTGTTCATATTTCCATGATTTGTTCTTAGTAAGGTCCATATAATTATCTTAGCAAGGCCAACCGTAAAATTTTTGATTGGCCTTATAAGGAATTACCGACTTTCATAGGTCACTACCAATGTTTTAACTGAAATTGTAAAAAGTAAGCCAGTATTGGGTTATTCAAATAATAAATTTACCTTTAGTTGTTGCGCGCGAATTTTACCGTCGATGACCGAAGTCTACGAAGCGAGGGACCGCAATCACAAAATAGCGACGCGAGCGACTCGCCGCGGCGTCTGTGTTCATGAGTTTAATGGACCTTAGTGTGAGTGGGAGGATTTATCGTCACATGACAATAACTATTTTTTTTAAATTGGCCTTCAAAAGAGTACGGCCTTCCATGGTTCATCCGCCTTATATTTTTAAAAATTACAATTCATACAATATCAATTTTGCCTTTAGCGTATCTGCTCGCTTATTTCTTACCTACCAAACTAAAGGATTTCAAGCTGCATTCGAAAAGCGCGTATATTACAGTACACGTAGTCGGTTATTGGAACACCATATAAATACTTGTAGCTGCGTACACTCTACGCGTCTCTATTAGTACGGACATGGCGTTCCAAAACACGCGTACATTACGCGCTGTCGGTACTCAGCTTCATAGATGGCTATAGATCTTTTCTCTATTACGAGAGCAGCCGATCGAACCCAAAACTAAAGTCGAGATACGGTGAATCTAAAGTGAAGTGTTGTGTGTATACTTGCAGCCGGTCAAACCGATGCCGCTGCGGGCCGTGACCGCGGGCGCGGCGGTTACTGTCGCGCCTAACGTTAGTTCCTTGCTCAATATCTCCGCCGCATCCACCAATAGGTCAGTCCACTCTGACACTGTTATTGCCACACTTCTCTGTCTTTAAAGTTGATGCCCGTGGAATATGGCAATCGTGTAAAACTGGCATATTGTTACTGACTTTGAGGTGGAATTGTTTTTGATAATCTTAAAACATACATACATACATAGCAAAGTTCCCATTTAGATGGAAATGTAAATCTGTATTTTTTTTGACGAATAATGAAATGTTTGTTTTATCCAATTTGTTCATAATATTTCATTAACTCTACAAATAGACATAATATGTTTAAAGATATAATATAAATAGGTGTTTCAAGAATCAGTACTCAAATAAGGTAAAATAGTGACTTATGCCATTGTTAACATGATTGGTGGATTCCATAGACGTCAATTTTACAAATTCCTCTAACAGTGCCATCCTACTGCTGCCCGCATATCTTCCGTTAGGCTGACCTTACCCAGTCTAATTCAGAATCTTGATTCATGACATGAATTCATATACACACACACACAATTTGATTATTTTAGATTGTAGTAAAATTGTATGCAATTCCGTGCGTTCTGAATTAACAAATATGAATTCATATTGTATATCCAGATTCTGATTCAGACTGTGTAAGGCTAGACCTTAATATAGCCTAAAAGCAAATTAAAGACTGAAGTCTATGTGAAAATGTATGTTACGTTTATCTAGTGCAAAATTGAACCCTATGTTCATATGCTATACAGATTATACTGAATGTATGCTGGCAGTGGATGATACATTTTGTGTAGATTTCATGCATTTCTTTGAATGTTTTGATTTGATTGTAATGCTACTTTCACACGGTTTCAGAATGTTTTTGTAACATCTCTATTGTGTATTTTTTGTGGTTTTGCCGCGTCTATAGGTAGCTCTTACTCGAGAAGCACCTGATGTAAATAACTTTATGCGAAATTTCTATTACTGCCAACAGAGGATCAGAGGTCTCTTGAAATTCTCTTTGCATGTCAAATAATGTTATCGGGAACAATAGATTATGTTTACTACTTTTTACAAACAACAAAATGCACACCCAAGGACGAAATGTAATACAGCATAAATAAGAATGGTGTTATGATGGGCTTTCATGACTAAAAGATAAGTGCTTGCGTTATATTAATGATTTTCTTCTTGCAATAACAAATGACGCCCTGATTTGATAGAAAAGGACAGAGTTATGGAAAATTTAACAAAAGTACTCTAGTAAGAAACCCTCACATAATAAATGCCACTAGAGCCGAGGTTCGAGTTATCGAGTCGCCCTCTATTCGCCCCTCAGGCCAGTAACGCCAACTCGTAGATCAAGTGGCTATCTGGCTGGAGTGGTGATCTAGGTTGCTAGAAAGGTGTCACACCTACCAACCAATCTAGGCTATTCCCCTTTCACATATCACAATTGAGTGGGCAATTTAGGGCCAATTCAGAAATGATTGCCACCGCAGCAGTTGTGTAAGCAGCTGCTTTTAGATAATCAAAGTGCTTGCTTAGATCTATAATTGTGTATACTCGCTAAACGAAATATCGTTTCTTAGGCCACTAGAAAAAAATAATTTACTTTACAAAAGTGTAGTGCTTAAACTTTTCGCTATGTAGGTTATGCATGTCTTTCTTTTTTCATTGAAACGAAATTTTGCATTTCTATGTATTTGTTCTATGTATTTCTATGTTATTTTGACGAATATCTAGAAAATCAGTAACAGATTAGAGCTGTCAATGTGATATTAAATACACGACGAAGAAGATAAAGAAGTTCTACCTTTTTTGTGTCAACTCGGTTCAAAAATCTAAGGAAGATGTTTTTAAAGCAAACCTTTAGCACTTTGCATGAGTGAGTACACTATAGTCTTGCACCAAAACAAAACTTACAAAGAATTTTATTTTCTCATACTTATCCAAATCAGACTTTTGGTCATCGGTCTGGTTGCTCATTTTACTTATTGGTTTTTCTCCACTTTATTTAGACTTATATTTGGGGTATGAGGTTTTACGAGTCGAGTTACCAAACATCGTTCCTAACTATCTGCATGAAAAAATTCTGTGTAGGTTTATCGTGAGTTGTTTTTTCTGAATTCTGATTGAAATGCTTACATTTACATGGCTATTCGTATTCTTATTTTTAATTTAACAACGGTCCCTTTTCATTGACGAACTCCGTGGCTAAGTGGTTTGTACGCCGGGTTTCAAGGTGTCGTCGACTCGAGAGGTTCCGGGTTCGAGTCCCGATGGGGGCAGATGATTGTGTGATGAATACAAGCATTTGTACTCCAGTCATGGATGTTTAATGTGTGTTTCTATATAAATATAATTTAAAAGGGAGGAAAAAGGGTTTGTATTGCAATCAGAGAGCACCCCCACTACAGGTAGCATACCCTTGTGCCAAGTTTATGAAGTAATAATACCGCATAGGCGTGTGACATACCCTCAAACGTCGCCATACAATTTTTCACCTAATTTGATATTTTGTCGGAGACGTCCACTGAGGTATTCAATCAAAACGCGGCTAACTCTCCGCGCACGCAAGCCATAACATCCTGGCAAAAACTTATTGAACATCGACCACCAACGATATTGAATACCCTAGATACAACAACACGAACAAAATCGTGGCCGAAACTTCTCCAACAGGTACATTGGACGATCCACGGACCTCCATAAAATGATCGCGTAGTCAAAAGCAATATAAGGCATTATTTAAACATTGAAAGTCACCTTTAATGCATACTGTATAAGGTCTTAATAAAAACGCATACGTCAAAGAGTTATTACAGTTCGATATGCAAGCTCGTAAAATTTACGACTTATTGATATATGCGGAATAATATAGACCTTGTTTCTTCGACTCTATGCGCAATTCGAAATGCACTGTTGGCAAAATAGCAGGTAGGGAACGCGAGGAAAAGAGAGGGCTATATTTCCGAACGTGCATTTAAATATCACAAATATTTTCTATTAAATCAGTTAATAGTAAGTATTAGAACAAAATTTGCTTCAACTGCGATAAATAAACAATTATGGATAAGATACCTGTCGAAAAAACTACACTTTACGTACTATATGTATTTATTACTCATTTTTCATGGAGCTCTGCGGCATCTTGACTTTTCAACGGTCACGGAACCAAGAAGTGCTTAGGAAAAGTGAATTAGGAAACATTTTGAGCGCACATGGTGTATCTAGGGTATATAATATCGTTGATCCACCACAGACAAGGAAGCCTGTTCATTAGCAATTTTACGTTCAAAAAGTCTACTGCACAAGTTTATTTGTCTGGTTTTGCTCAAGAAGTTTGACGCTACTATTACTTTGGCGATTATAAATTTGAATTAAGTAATGCGTTCTCTAGTGGGGGGCTTTGTGATGGGAATCCCAATTTTTTTAGTAGACGAAGACACGGGCAACCTATAACAGCAAATACGTGTAGCTATGTGAAGTGCTAACAAAAGGCACCTTCTACTTCTTTGCAACGCGCGTTTCTGCAACACGAAAGTACCTGTAGCGCATTTACATTGGTGATTGCCAAGTGAAGTTCCTCGTAGACACATTATTTTCTTTTCAGCCATTTGCTTAAAAACGCATGTACTTGAAGATTGAATTCAAAATTACAGGCCACACAAAGGAGCGTGCGGTAATTTTTTTTACCACATGCTCCCATACATGGCGCCGTGCGTATCTTTTACGATTCTTTTTTTATTTCGGACGTACCTCATTGGAAGCGCTTTTAATTTATACCTTTTTCACACTTTAGTACTGTGATGCCAATTGAAAATGGGCGCCATTTTCTTATTAGAAAAAGTTTCTTACTTAAACTAGGTATAGGTACTGTTTTCTCGCAAATGTGTTGAAAACGTTGTATGACATTCATGCGTTTTTTATAAGCTCTATGGTGACTCGACTTCGTCTCGGGACTGACGGCTGTAAAGCTCGTATTATAGAATGACAACTGGGTGTTGATCTTTGCTTGAGTACAGTAAGAAAGGGATGTCGCTCTGTATAGCACATAGCGTCATTCCTTTCTAACTGTGCTCAAGTGGGGATCAGCGCTTGGTTGTCATTCTGCAATACGAGCCTTAGAGTCGTCTACTCGTTTGTAACAACCAACTTACCGCACTTTAATCATAAATAACTTTTAGCGTTTAGTGGTGGTTGTGTGAATGTTGATCGTGTTTGCAGCACAATAAGCGCGGGCGTAGTGTCGGGATCGTCGACGCCCAGCAAGGCGCCGCCCCCGCCCTCCCCGCCCCACCACGCGCCCGCCCCGCACCCCGTCCCGCACCACCTGCCGCGCCCTACTGCGGGTGAGTGATCAACGTATTCATGTCCCCACTGCTGGGGCACAAGTCTTCCCTTTTGATTTTCCCAAATTCTAGGTCCTTGTACTTGCTCAAAGCCCGTTCACAGCATAAGCAGAGTTAAAAGCAACGGACAAGCCTTCACCGGACAAATCAACAACATTTCATTTTGGACACACACCTGGCGTTGGTCAAATCCTTAAGGAGCCATCACAGAAGAAATCTGGATGAGAAAGGGAGATTAGGCTGTCATCACCAAATCAGTGCGCAGATTGCAGATGCAGCCGAGACCAACCAGGTAAGTGTTAAAGACATAGCGATAGAGCAAGTCGCGCTGTACTACAGGTGAGTCAGTGACTGTCTACATTTTAAGCTGCGGTCTCCTGCCGCGCCCTACTGCGGGTGAGTCAGCATATCGTTGTGTCCGTACTCAGAAATCAATATATCAAGTTGGACGTATAGTAAAACTCTTTTTAATCGTTCAAATTTATTTTTTCACTCTAAGGTAAGGCCGCCGCCGCCCGCTGGGCGCCATCCTTATGCGATCGGCATTCGAGAACCTTTCCGCCCCAACGGTCATCAGTACCCCTAGCACGAACCATTATCGAATTCGAATAGTTTGCAAACCGAAATGTCAATGTCAAAAAATCAATATACATTTGACAATGACATTTCGGACTCGCGAACGATACGAATTCGATATTGGTTCGTGCTAGGGGTACAGTTCCCTTGGAGCGAACCAATATCGAATTCGAATAGTTTGCGAGTGCGAAATGTCATTGTCAAATGTGTACTGATTTTTAGTTCTCATTACGTCCGTTATGGCGCTGCTGTTCAAGTTTCCATACATTATTTGACAATGATATTTTGCACTATGAAACTATTAGAATTCTTATAGTTTCATAGTGCAAAAAATTAATCTTAGTAAGAGTACAGTTCTGCTCGCTGTATTTACCCTTCTGACTTTTAAGCGATGTCGCTTACAGTTCTCCTGTGGATTTGGTCATATCTGATTCTATCACGCAAGAAAGTACCGAGCATGGCAAAGGAGAGATCCATTGCCCGTTGTGCGACCTTGAGCCTTCTTAGACCCATGGTTAACGACTATAAGCTACTTGTTCTCCGTTCTCCTGTAATTAATAAGGTTGATAATAATTTTGATAAGTCAAAAATCAATTTATGCAGTCAGTCATCAACACTGACTGACTGCATAAATCCAGCCTTCCAATTCATCACCATCTCACGTACATGTAATATACTTCCGGACACATCTATCGGCCCACCTAACATTTTAAAGCCCGTACATAAAAATAAATGTTACATTGAGCCAAAACTTATTACCTACTCAATTTGGAAGCTGATTTATTAACCACCCATTCATATGTTTTTTTAAAATATTGCTCAACCATAGACATATACAATAGATAGTCCGGAAGGGTAATATCAATGTTTAGCTACCTGGAAACTATTGTGAGTAATATGGTACATTAAATCAATACCAAATATAGCTTTGATGAGTCATGACTTCTCTGAATAATAGTAAACAAAACAATTATGTGTATGCTAAAAAAAACGTAGATCATAATCGATAAACTCATCAAACCTGATAACTTAGCCATACTCTAGGAAAGGGTTAAATACAGAACTAATTAAAGATAAAGTTATCAACGGTTGAGCGCCGATAAAGCAACGCGACTTGTTTACAAAACAAACAACGCTTATCACCATGTGAATGGAGTTACCACTCGGCGCGCTCATTACAAAAACGATTACAGAAAGTCCCCATAACTTGGCGTCCCTCCAAACTCACGTACAAACGTCTGAAATTGGCTTACAGCCAAAGCGATGACACGACGTATTTTATTCAGTCGCCAGGCGGTATCGGCGGAGACCTGTGCCTAACTAACGAAAAATCTAGAAAAACAAAAAAAAAACCCTTAATGATGTTTCCCCTCGCAAATACCGGATAGAATATGGACAATGGTAAAAGCGAGTTTAGTTGGCGTGCGTGTGTGCATGTGTTTTTCCACCGTCGGATTTTCGGATACGACGATGCGGTGCGTTGTTAATGCGTAGTTGGTTGTTTTTTGATGCATTTCTTACCAAGTTCAATGTTAGTTATGTAATGTCGTTTGGAAGAACAACTAATGTTGTCACAGCGTTGTGATGGAATGTTGTGACGCGAGAGAAAAGGAGTCGATGGTTCCGTTGTGTTGGCTTCTGTAATGTGACGCGTGGCGTTGTTTGTTTGTCACTAACAAAGAGATTTGAACATAAATGCAAATAAAATTTTGTTTTCATTTATTTTGATGCTGAATATTATTGTTATTAGTGTTTAATTAATTACCTTACCTGATGGCAAGTGTAATTATAAGGACAAATGATTTTTGTTTTTCATTTATTTTGATGCTGAATATAAGTGTTTAATTAATAACCCCTCTTGATGGCAAGTGTAATTATAAACACAAATGAATTTTTGTTTTTCATTTATTCTTATAAATACAAATGAATTTTTGTTTGTTTTTATTTATTTTGATGCTGAATATTATTGTTATTAGTGTTTAATTAATTACCCCACCTGATGGCAAGTGTAATTATAAACACAAATGAATTTGTTTTTCATTTATTTTGATAAACACAAATTAATGTTTGTTTGTTTTCATTTATTTTGATGCTGAATATTATTGTTATTAGTGTTTCATTAATTGCCCCACCTGATGGTAAGTGTAAGTGGAGTCTCTCCAGCCATTCCCACCTTGCCGGTCTGAACCCACCTATATTATTGCTCCAAAGGCCTATTTAAATTTTACCATGCACTGGAATATTGAGTATTATCAATTTTTTTTGCCTTCCTGACAAATCTTGACAAGCCTAATTAAAAAAGTTACTTAATATACTAATATCATTGTAAGTTGTATATATCTCTAATAAAGCTACAGTTACACATGCTGATTACTAGCACGAAAGCATGCCACTATTGAGCAATTGCTACTTAGTAGTATGTGTGTCGAAACATTGCTAATAATGAGTATGCTCATTTTGAGTTTGCTCAAAAATCAACGGTCGTGCGATTTTTGGGCATGCTACCTGCAGCGCGGGTGGAGGGGGGCGTGCTTTTAGCGCGTGTGAACAGGTTTGCCTATTGAGCATGCTAGTATCGATCAGTCGTTCGCAACAGGTGCGTGTGCACCATCTTCACGCAAAATGTCTCGCTGGGGCGACGAAAAAACGCTCAAATTTGTAAATTTATAAAGAAATCACGAGTGCTTGTGGAATCCCCGCATACCGCAGTATAAAAATAATGTTGATCGAAATAAATCTTCTAGATATCCAATCACGAACCCAAATCTTTCTCTTTCTTTTCTTTTTTTGCCGAGCTGATATAAGCTTCTGGATGCATTGCATCGCCAGCAAAAGGATGATCTTATTCAGCTCCATACGGATAGCTGTTTGATTGTCCATGGCTTTGTTTGAACTGACAGAGAGTGAGAGAGCATGCTATAAAATGGCATGTGTATTGGAGTGTTTGCTTTGAGCATGCTAATTCAGGAGCATACTTAAAACTAGCATGCCTATTGCTAGCAAATGTAAACTGCTCATAAGCATGCTCATATTGAGCATACTCAATAGCATGCTTTTTAGCATGCTATTTTAGAGCATGTGTAACTGTAGCTTAACTATGAATACGTCTACCTGATAAAATATGATCAACCATATTATTATAATGGGGGTGATGACGGGGAACAGTAAACGAAATTCTATTTAGTCCGTCAGTTAGATGATCAAAAAATAATATACCCGTATTTTTTCTTTGGGCAATCAACCAAAAAATGACAAAGTTATAGCGCGTCAAAGTTTGGGAGTGGGGGCTCGTGACGTCACTTTTGAGTGAATTTTCCCATATAAGTGTACTCAAACGTGACGTCATGCGACTTTTCAAATCAATATATCTCTGCAATGTTTATATTATGCGAAAAAAGAAAAAATACGTGTCCAATACTTTTTGATAATCTACCTGATAAACGAAGGAAAAATTAGTCATCCTCCCTATTGACACTGCTATATTGCTAATATAGTATTTTGTAAATATTGTAACATAGTCTAACCCTTAGCTTAAACGTCCTTAACGGGTGGCAAGGAAATAAATATGGACGTTTCAAAAGAGTTGTATTATGCTTCCAATATGAATGAGGAAATTTAGAATTTTGTGTGGAAAGCAAACGTAATTTTTCTAAACTCACCTTTGCATGAAATAATTTCCAAAAAAAAGGAGTTACTGGTTAATATCGGCATAACGCTGTTGTTAATCATTCTTTATTTTAGTATGGCGACATATTTCTAATACGTCAATGCCATAGTCCGTTGATTCATAAGACGTGTTGCGGTGCACACATAAAAAATGTACACAATAACAATGAATCATCATAGCCGGTAGAAATATCAATGAATTCCATAATTATACATAAAGAAATAATATTATTAAGTGTTATTGTAATGATGATAGGGATGATAACTTACCTTTGTTTCTTCGCCTAAGGTTATCGAAAAGTATTGGACTCATATTTTTTTAATCCATATTATTAAAACATTACAGAGATATATTGATTTGAAATGTCGCATGAATTCACGTCATGGTACAATTTTTACTTGGAAGTGACGTCACAGCCCCCACTCCCAAACTTACACGCTCTTTATCTTTGTAATTTTTTGGTTGATTGACACAAAAAACGTGTCCATAATTTTTCGATAGTGGAACTGATCAATAAATAGAATTTCCATTACTTCGCCCCGTCAATAGTAATACGGGTGATATATTGATTTTAGATTAGTTAGCCTTGTTTGATTGATGGCTACATAGACGGTTAACTTTAGATCAAATCGATTATCATCTTCATCAGCCGATTTACGTCCACTGCTGGACATAGGCCTCCCAAGGTTTAGAGGGCAAGGCCAAATTGGCCTCTAAGAAGCTTGGTGTGCTCAATAGATCGAGAATGTACTTCACACCGGGCCACCGACTGCAGCTTTATAAGGCACAGGTTCGGCCTCACATGAAGTACTGCTCTCATCTTTGGGCGGGGGCATCCCAGTACCAGCTTCTCCCTTTGGATCGCATCCAGCGCCGAGCGGCTCGAATCGTCGACGACCAGGACCTTTCCGATCAGCTTGATCCTTTGGCTTTGCGTAGGGATGTAGCTTCGCTCTGCATCTTCTATCGCATTTATCACGGGGAGTGTTCTGAGAAATTGTTCGGATTAATTCCAGCTGCTGCATTTCGCCATCGTACATCGCGACATAAATTTCATCCCCCATCATCTTGATGCGTGGCTATCCACAACCGTGCGTTTTTGTCGAAATTTTTTACCACGTACGACAAAACTGTGGAATATGTTGTCGCCAGCAGTGTTTCCGGACCGATACGACCCAAGAACCTTCAAAAAAAGAGCGTACTCCTTCCTTAAAGGCCGGCATCGCATTTGTGATACTCCTGGTGTTGCAAGCGTCCATGGGCGACGGTGATCACTTACCATCAGGTGAGCCGTCTGCTCGTATGCCCCCTATAACATAATAATAAAAAAAAAAGTTATTTCCATACACAACGGCCTTGCGCTTTCGACATCCCGTGGGTCCCGCTAACTCGCTTGATGTCGTCAGTCCATCTGGTGAGGGGTCTACCGACACTGCGCTTCCCGGTGCGAGGTCGTTATTAAAGCACCTTGGGACCCCATCGTCCATCGGTCGTTAGATCGAATAGCGCTCCAATTGCTTTGTAAATCGAAAGTCGAATACCCTCGCAAATCTACGTCGTGAGATTGTCACTGTAACTGTGTTACAAGTACCGGCAAGAAACCTCAGCAAGGGCTGCTTTTGCTTCCTGTTTTATTTAATTTTTCGTTATCCATGAACAAAAAAAGAAATGTAAGTGTGCGTGATGTTTCACTGAACTGACACCTGATGGAAACTAAGCAGCGGACCGGCAACTATATGTATATAACTATAACATCACGAACAAAATCGTGGCCTAACCTGTCCAAAAGGTACATTGGACGATTCATGGAGCTCCGTAAGATGATCGCGTAATCAAAAACAATATAAGGCATTACTTAATCATTTAAAGAGAGAAAGGAAACGTTTCATAGAATACCATCATTTAAAGAGGACTTTAATGCACTTAGAGTTCATTTAAACAAACTGTATTACTATTACGAACAAAACAAAATTCTTCCGTATTTTTGGTATATATAATAATTCCAATTCAGAGTCTTCAGTCCATAACACCCCCCCCCCCCCCCTGTCATCAAAAATAAGCAAAGCAAAGACCCCCCCCTGCCCCCCTACAGTGCTTACGTAATACTTCAACGGCCCCTAATGCATATCGTATAAGATCTTAATTAAAATGCTTGCGTAAAATTTTACGACTTATTGCTATATGCGGAATAATATTGACCTTATTTCTTTGTCTCTACACGCAATTCTGATTGCGCTGTTAGCAAAACCGACTGTGCATTTGAATATCACAAATGTTGTCTATTAAATCAGTTTATAGTAAGTATTACAACAAAATTTTCTTCATAAGCGTTAAATAACAAACTTTAATTAGATACCTGTCGAAGAAACGACACTTTATGTATTATAAGTATTTTTTCGCATTTTTTCACGTAGCTCTGCGGCATCTTGACTTTTCAACGGTCCGCGAGTCACTGTGAACCAAGAAGTGCTTGAGTGGTGTTCAAGCACTTCTTGATTTGGACACATTTTGAGCGCACGTGGTGTGTCTAGGGTATTAATTATCGTTGCGGACCGGACGTAAGAACAAACTGGCTCCTTCTTTACTTACTTACAAAATTTGACGACCTCCGTGGCCGAGTGGTTTGTACGCCGGGTTTCATGGTGTCGCCGACTCGAGAGGTCCCGGCCTCGAATCCCGGTGGGGGCAGATGTTTGTGTGATGGACACGAGCATTTGTACTCCAGTCATGGATGTTTAATATGTATTTCTATATATATGTACTGTATATGTCTATCGGTTACCCTAGTATCCCATAACACAAGCCTTACAGTGCTTACTTTGGGGCTAGGCTAATTGGTGTGAGTGTTGGAAATATTTATTTATTTATTATTAAAATTTGACGATGACGATACGGTTATGGCTCCGTCGAAGTTTGTGCTTGGACCTTTGAGAATCATCTCGATGCTAACTTCACAACAGCTATAAAGTTTGAATTGCAACTAAAGTTAACGTGTTTCGTTTGTCTTGCAGAAGTAGTGGAGAATGGTCCCGTGTCGAGCGCGCCCGCGCACACGACGACGCATCTACCGCAAGTCACGCAACCGCCCCCAGTAAGTCTTTTTATTGAACTAATTGAAAATTTAAATTTATTTTTCTGCTCTGTTTATTTATATATTATAATCCAAATAAATTACGCAAAGAAAACGGGTCATGTTTTACACAATATGTGCGTGACTCTAATGTCAGATTCTACTAAAATAGTCAATGTGTGCGTTTATAGCAACGAGCTATCTACCATATGTAGTACATATTTTTTGTGCTGCTTCTGTGCAGTTAATATGGTGTCTAGGGTGTATAAAAAAAGGTTTATTTGATTTGTTTGTCTTACATTAGTCAATAAAATAATTTTGTTGAAATAAGCTAGCGATATGTATAATTTGATGATTTATTGCTCAGAAAGTTTGTCTTCTGATTCATGAATAATATTTTTAATAGCTACTTTTACGTGAACAGTAATATTATGTTGCTGGGATGGAACCCAGTTTTTTGTCTAATCAAATTGATATTGTAATTATATAAGTATTATTAGTTTTCAGTTTTTATTTTCAAAATCAATAAACCAAGTTATTTTTTCGTGTTTTATTTCTTACATGTCAGGGCTAAAGCTAATTTGTATCTAAATTTTGGTCATCTTTGTAGCTAGTTGTTTCTATGACGCGTAGGTTGTGAAAAGTGCTTCCGTGCCGCTGGGTAGCAGCGCTCCGGCGACGGGTGGCGGCGGCTCCGAGCGCGCCTCCCCGCTCACGCTCACGCTCAACGGGCCCGCGCCGCACCACGCGCTCAACAAGTGAGTCAACTCGCTCAACCACACACTGCACTAACACTGTGTCACGTAGTCATCGGTAGAGGGGGGTCGATAGAATAAATAACTCTCCAACTATAGTGAACGCTCACGCTCAACGGGCCCGCGCCGCACCACGCGCTCAACAAGTGAGTCAACTCGCTCAACCACACACTGCACTAACACTGTGTTACGTAGCCATCGGTAGAAGGGGGTCGATAGAATAAATAACTCTCCAACTATAGTGAACGCTCACGCTCAACGGGCCCGCGCCGCACCACGCGCTCGACAAGTGAGTCAACTCGCTCAACCACACACTGCACTAACACTATGTCACGTAGCCATCGGTAGAAGGGGGTCGATAGAATAAATAACTCTCCAACTATAGTGAACGCTCACGCTCAACGGGCCCGCGCCGCACCACGCGCTCAACAAGTGAGTCAACTCGCTCAACCACACACTGCACTAACACTATGTCACGTAGCCATCGGTAGAAGGGGGTCGATCGAATAAATAACTCTCCAACTATAGTGAACGCTCACGCTCAACGGGCCCGCGCCGCACCACGCGCTCAACAAGTGAGTCAACTCGCTCAACCACACACTGCACTAACACTGTCACGTAGCCATCGGTAGAAGGAGGTCGATAGAATAAATAACTCTCCAACTATAGTGAACGCTCACGCTCAACGGGCCCGCGCCGCACCACGCGCTCAACAAGTGAGTCAACTCGCTCAACCACACACTGCACTAACACCGTGTCACGTAGCCATCGGTAGAGGGGGGTCGATAGTATAAATAACTCTCCAACTATAGTGAACGTTCACGCTCAACGGGCCCGCGCGGCACCACGCGCTCAACAAGTGAGTCAACTCGCTCAACCACACACTGCACTAACACTGTGTCACGTGGCCATCGGTAGAGGGGGTCGATAGAATAAATAACTCTCCAACTATAGTGAACGCTCACGCTCAACGGGCCCGTGCCGCGCCACGCGCTCGACAAGTGAGTCAACTCGCTCAACCACACACTGCACTAACACTGTGTCACGTAGCCATCGGTAGAGGGGGGTCGATAGTATAAATAACTCTCCAACTATAGTGAACGCTCACGCTCAACGGGCCCGCGCCGCACCACGCGCTCAACAAGTGAGTCAACTCGCTCAACCACACACTGCACTAACACTGAGTCACGTAGTCATCGGTAGAGGGGGGTCGATAGAATAAATAACTCTCCAACTATAGTGAACGCTCACGCTCAACGGGCCCGCGCCGCACCACGCGCTCAACAAGTGAGTCAACTCGCTCAACCACACACTGCACTAACACTGAGTCACGTAGTCATCGGTAGAGGGGGGTCGATAGAATAAATAACTCTCCAACTATAGTGAACGCTCACGCTCAACGGGCCCGGCGCCGCACCACGCGCTCAACAAGTGAGTCAACTCGCTCAACCACACACTGCACTAACACTGAGTCACGTAGTCATCGGTAGAGGGGGGTCGATAGAATAAATAACTCTCCAACTATAGTGAACGCTCACGCTCAACGGGCCCGCGCCGCACCACGCGCTCAACAAGTGAGTCAACTCGCTCAACCACACACTGCACTAACACTGAGTCACGTAGTCATCGGTAGAGGGGGGTCGATAGAATAAATAACTCTCCAACTATAGTGAACGCTCACGCTCAACGGGCCCGCGCCGCACCACGCGCTCAACAAGTGAGTCAACTCGCTCAACCACACACTGCACTAACACTGAGTCACGTAGTCATCGGTAGAGGGGGGTCGATAGAATAAATAACTCTCCAACTATAGTGAACGCTCACGCTCAACGGGCCCGCGCCGCACCACGCGCTCAACAAGTGAGTCAACTCGCTCAACCACACACTGCACTAACACCGTGTCACGTAGCTATCGGTAGAGGGGGGTCGAACGAATAAATAACTCTCCAACTATAGTGAACGCTCACGCTCAACAAGTGCGTCGAGACTGCGTAATGCGGACGCGGGATTACCAGACCAATGCCCACTAGCTGCGATTAGGGTGGAAGGAGAACAGAGTGCCGCCTTCTTTCGCCCTGTCATCTGCGTTCGATCAGATCTTAAAAGGCAGAGTCCTCTAGTACCCGCTCCGTGGCCTCCTTCCACGAGTTATCTTCTTCTCAGAAATAGGCCACTGCGTCCTAGGAAACAGTTTGTACGCACCAAAATACTATACCATACTGCACATTACATGATTACATCGCACAATACGATACGCTTGTACTTGTATATTTAGTTAAATTTTCGGGTTTGTCTCAGTACAGTTTGCGAAACCCTCAGTCTCTGTATCCAGATTTCAGATAGGAGAGATCTTTTAGGGGACTATTATTAATCAGATACGAGAAATCTCTAACATGGGATAGCATATTCACAATTCAAATCAAATAATAAAATAGTTATTCAGTCTAGGCTGGTCAAACATTTGTAAAGGTCGTAAAGCTACGCCATCGGTTCGTAAAACTGCGGCGGGAGACCTTTTACTGAGAAGAACTGGCAGGCTACCCACCCAAGGGCTGTTTATTTCTCCCTGTATTATTATATACAGAGTCGTCAAGTTGAAAAATAAGTTGTAAATATTTTAGTAAGCAGTAAGCTAACCGTTACGATTGTATTCGCACATGTTTTTGAGAGTTCCCTTACGTATTGCTTACAGCGGGCGAGCGAGCGAAGCGTCGAGCGCGAGCGGAGCGACGAGCGTGAGCAGCGCCAGCGCCGCGCCCGCCGGCACCGCCTCCCTCAAGGCCATGGCGCAGGAGGCCGTCCAGCGCGCCGGCCTCGACCACCACCAGGTACACTGCAACGTCTCAGAGCGCGGTCAGACGACACGCGCCCGCTTGAGGCTTGGAGCGTGACCAGCGCCAGCGCCAATAAAAATTACGGAACGGAGCGTGCGGTAAAACACTTTACCACACGCTCTCATACATGGCGCCGTGCGTATCCTTTACGTTTTTTTTATTTCGGACGAATCTCATTAGAAGCGCTTTTAATCTATACCTTTGTCTCACTTTAGTACCGTGATATCAATTGGAAATACGCACCGTTTTCTTTTTAGAAAAAGTTTGCTTCATTACTTAAACTAGGTATAGGCTTAGGTTAAAACAAAAAGGGTAGATACGGTACGCTCGTACTTGCATCAAACAAAAACTGATCCCACAGCAGCGCGAACGGGACGGCGAGATCCGCGTCACTGCATTACCGACCCGAACGAAACAGCACGTTAAGTTTCAACGGCAGCACAAACCAGACGGCGAGATCCGCGTCACTGCACTACCGACCAATCACGCGACCAGTACTCGACGTCACTACCGAATAACATTCAAAACAAACAACAATTTTAATGAAAAAATATATTTTATAGTACTTATGAATGAAAAGTGATGTAAAGCCGTGGGTTTTTTATTATTTATCATATAAACACAAAATATTAGCAATATTTCTTTTTGGCATTCACATGTACGTCGTTTGCATGTTAAGTTGTGACTTAAGCGATTAGGGTCGTGGACCACAATTGGTGCGGATCACTTTTGTGAGGCTAGTGCCGTATCTACCCTTTTTGTTTTAATCTAAGGCCGGCACCGCCTCCCTCAATGCCATGGCGCAGGAGGCCGTGCAGCGCGCCGGCCTCGACCACCACCAGGTACACTTCAACGTTTCAGAGCTCGATCAGACGACACGCGCCCGCTATGAGGACGCCACGCTCGTCTAACTTGCTCTGAAATTTTTGGATATAATATAAATTAACCCAAAGTTTCACCACTCATAGCAAGAAGTTCAAATTGCAATTTCCCATAGTGCATATGAACTATCGTCAAAATTGTTATTTTGTACGTTCATGTCACTTATCCAGATTCGCGTATACAATTCACTAAGTAACAACGCGAATCTGATTATATATTTTATGACAGTACTGCGGCGTTAAGACGAGCACTGGTTACTCAACCATTTACAAATTACTAACCCAAAAAAATTGCACTGGACATCGTTGTGGATTCCCACAAGCGGCACTCGTAAGTTTTTTGTAGTTAGAGAATTTTTATTTCTCAAAAATTAATAATACAATTCACTTACTGAGAAAAATAAATTTTTAACATAATGAATATAACACTTGAGCGTAGACATAATAATAATGTGTGAGTTTCGTCTGCGTCTAGGGTTACCATTTAAGAATTTCAAAAGTCCTTACAAAAATCCTGACATTTCGAAAAAAGTTGCGACTTTTTAGTCACAAAATTGTACCATTACTCACTTAGTTACAATGGTATGGTATTTAAATCAATATGTACTTTTATTATTCATATTCAATGTAATTTATAAATTCCGTACAAGTCCGGACTATAGTCAAAAAGTCCGGATTAATCCGGACGGATGGTAACCCTATCTGCGTCTGTATTTATTTTTGCCACAACCTTGTATACTTTTAGAAATTCATTAGTTATATATGAAAACTTGTAATCGGCTGGTAGTTAACCAAATTACTGAAAAATATTTTGAATATTTTTTCATTCTGTACTTAAAGATACGGTTTTCATTTCAGAATGTACGAAGAGGTGTACCATTAGCACAAGCGCACATCCCACCCTTATTAGGAGTCGCGCCTCTAGGACCCTTGCCATTAAATTCTGTAAGTATCAATATACTTTGACATACTGAACTAGGATTGAGAGATATGACACAAAACTAAATATCACTGCTATATCAAATTTACCTTTCTGTGAAAACAAATAAAATCGACCATTGAACAAGACAGCAATTATTAACTCAAATACAAATATCACAATGAGTTAGTGTAGGGACAACAACTTGCTATCTCCCTCGCACTTGTGGCGCATAAGTCGATAACATCCTATTTGAATAATGCACTCTAAGTCTTATAATTTTTAAGGCAAAGATATCCTTCTTATGTCACAACATCAACAAAAAGAATGACATTCAAACAGCATCTTTAATATAGGTAGCGGCAAACTTCTTGATCAAAACAACAGATAAATAATCTTGTGCAGTAGACGTTTTTGTATGTAAAATTGCTACTGCGCAGGCTTCCTTGTCTATGGTCATTGCTCAAGAAGTTTGCCGGGATATAGGTATGGCCTACATAACAAATAACTATTGACCGTCCGTTCAGGAACACCAGCTCCAGTTCCAGATGATGGAAGCGTCGTTCTACCACATGCCTCATCCATCGGACTCTGAAAGAACGCGAGCTTATTTGCCCCGCAATATATGCCAGACGCCCGTATACTACAACCAGGTATTTGATACGCACGAAATATTCAATAATCACTTTATAATCAGCTAAAACATGCATGTAATCCTGTCTTTATTCATCATGATCATGATTTTTGCCCCGCAATATACAAGACACGCGTCTAGTAGAAACAGTTATTTGGTGCACTCCAATATGTTCAACATAAATCTTATTACGCGGACCAGGCAGCAGACGGGGCTCGCACCTTGTAAAGGTATTCATTTTACATTGTGGGTTACCTACAATGCGAAGAAATGGCGCTGCCTTGCAGCTTAAGAAAGGCTAGAAAGAATTCGACACGGCATAATGCTCAGTGCATTCGCCCGGATAGCGTAGGGTTCGAGTCCCGTCTGATGCCTGGTACGCGTGGAATTTTTTCTAGTACATATTATTTTCTTGGGGGCAGCATGGGGCAGTTACATGCTTAAAAAATACAAATTATAACTATAACTCTTATTTGCTAAAATAATGTTTTCAATACTGTCCTTAATCATCTTCATTCAAAAATATGAAGATACAGCATGGCATAATATTCCAGAAACCCGTCTACTACAGCCTAGTGTTTGGTGCACTCCGATATGTTTCATGTGGACACTTGGCTATTAGTTTTTGCTATTTTGTAAACTTGACATCAGACTCTCCTTATCATGCATTATAAAGGCACACTGATGTCAAGTTTACAAATAACAAACACATATAACCAAGTGGCAACGTGAATATTTTCACTTCAACCTAGCGGTCGGTTTTTGCATCGCAGAGGCGACGGATTTTCGGTCACGCGATCACAGATTAATGTGAACTAATTGCTATTACCGAACGGCCCGACCAATCGTAGATTAATATCTTGCTTCAAAAAGAAACTAATCTCAAAATATGACAGATAACCAGATCAATCTTTCTCGTCTATCAAAACACTCCGAGCAGAAAGATTTACATTGGATTTATTTGACTGACCGTTATTGAGCAGAAGTAAAAATTTTGATTGTCTCTCCAGTCTTCAGCGCTAGAGTTACCTGGGGGCCAATCGCCTAACGAGATTGCTATGGCTACTATTTGTCTAATAAAGTTTAAATAAATAATTAAAAGTAAATAAAATGGCTATCGCTTCCGTTTAGGTTTTCATTTTGTTATTTCTGACCGAAGGTTTTCAAATGCCTCTCGCAAATTTTTAATTATATTTAATTTTTATTGGTAACAACAATATAAAAAAAATTACCGTAAGGTATTTGAAAACCTTCAACAGGCAGAAATAACAAAACGAAATCGTAAGCGTTAGCTATAGCCATAGCAATACCGTTAGGCGATTGACCCCCTGTACCGGACGGTTCTGACCTGTTGTTTGTTAGAGTTAACAAGAGGTTCTAACGTATGTGCAGGTGCTTCTACCTCACTCGGACAGCGTAGAGTTCTTCCAGCGGCTGTCGACGGAGACACTGTTCTTCGTGTTCTACTACATGGAGGGCACGAAGGCGCAGTATCTCGCCGCCAAGGCGCTCAAGAAGCAGAGCTGGCGGTTCCACACCAAGTACATGATGTGGTTCCAGCGACACGAGGAGCCGAAGGTCATCAATGAGGAGTATGAACAGGTATTCAAATTTCGATTGATAACTGGAGCACATGGTATATGTAACATGCACAACATCTTTTTTTCCAAATTCATAAAATCCAGCTTAATGTCTATAAAACAGATCAAAGGAAAAAATACGAATATCCAAGTGAACTGCCGGCATTACATTGCAAAGAGCGAGCTTTTTAGTTGACGAAATTATAATGAAAAAGTTTGCTGTCTGTAGTCTTGTTAATTTATTGTAATTTTTCTTCGACTTTCATACACTTATAAATTCCTAAGGGTGAGGGTGATAGTAGTGCTGCAAGTTTTTGATGCTATTAAAGAGCTTATGTATTGTTTGTTCACAAGATAGGAGGATCTCGAATGTCATAACAATCAGTGTTATAACAGGTCCTTAAAACTCACTAACGGTTGTCTGAACTGAGTTGCTATCAAAGGAGTCAATGTTGAACACCTCTATGGCCGAGTGAAACCCGGCGTATAAAGACGCCCTTGGTTCGGATCCCGGTGGGGTCAGATTTTTGTGTGATGAATAGGAGCATTCGTACTCCAGTCATGGATGTTTAATATGTATTTCTATATAAATATACTTATATCGTGGGTAACCGACAGAATCCTTATAATAATTCCATAACACAAGCCTACAGTGCTTACTTTTGTGTGTGTTAAAAAAAATGTTGATAATTATGAGCTAATATTGTTCTTTTAGCCTAACTCACTCCTTTTTGTCACTACAGGGCACATACATATACTTCGACTACGAGAAATGGGGTCAACGGAAGAAGGAAGGGTTCACATTCGAGTACAAGTACTTAGAGGACCGCGACCTCAATTGAAGCGGAACCGCCCACCGCGTCTGGCAGTCTGACAGGCGCCCTGTCTACTCCCGCCCCGCCTCGTCGGCGAGAGGGAGCGAGACGGCGCTATACACGCCGTATACCGCCGTCCTGCTCACCCGCCCGGCCTCGTCTGGCTCACGGAGGTGCAACGAACATCCCGCTATGTGAAGTGTTCTACGGACAGTGTTACTCGGTGTATCAGTGTGTGTCATTAGGGCCCCGACAGATCTGAACTTGTTAGTGCGGAAACTATATTTTTTTACGTTTGCATTGTATCGTTAAGAGGCTGATAAATCTGTGTATAGTTGAAAATTAAGACACGTCTGAGACTATTCGTTTAGTGATCCACTGTTGAGAAGCGATGGAATGTAGACTCGATTGGCCCTCGTCGGAGTTCCAGAATCGCCATATACTGTGAGTTACTCGTTTGGTATGTAGTTTTGAAGCACACACGACCCTACTGAGATGGATGACGTCACTACGCCGAGTGTACCAATGTGGATGCACTGCGCTGCGCATCTCTAGTTGTTATAATTAAAGAAACCAATGTGATATTGATATAGAGCGGGCGCGGCCCGGGTATTCCCGTTCCCTCGAGCCTTTTGGCCCCGGGGAGGCCGCCCCACCCCTTTTCCGCCCCGCGTCACCCCGAATCTACTATTTTTTTCGAATTTAACGCTTCTCCCTCAATAATTTGCTCTTAGAAGTAATAAGTCTTAAAGCTACGCCGCATTGCGAAATTATGTGTGCCGCGTGAATGTTCCTCGCTGAATTTATTTGTTTAAGAAAATCGTTACGCGTCATTTCCGATAGTATGTAAGGTTTGGTTTCCATTGGACCCAAAATTCGGTGAAAAATATATCGCAATGAAATTTTACAATGCGGCCTTAGCTTGAACAGTTCGATCGCAGAAATAATACCTCACGTCAGACTTCTAGTCCGTTCTGAAGTTGCTTAGTTTGTTCCAAAGTTGCTTCGTTTTAAGACTTATGTATGTAGGGGTGTAATTTTGTTGAATTATTGGGGTTGAAATGCTAAGCGATTGTATTAAAGTAGACCTATCACTATCTGAGGGCAGCTTGTTGAGGATAGCTGTTGTTACTGAGCCATTGACTGCATTGCAATTGGATCGAAACAGCTAAATATTTGACTCAGCTTGATGACAGTTAAAGCATGCAACTGTTTTTGCTGTTATAAAGCAGCATCATTAACCTTTTATCAGTTATTGGTGTTGACTCTAGCATGATTCTCAAATTTAAATTAACTTCAAACTTAAATTTAACATCAGTCTCTCCTTTTCATATTGTATAGAGTGTGCCAAGGATACAATGTTGACAAATTTAAGTTTAGGTGTTTAGAGATTAATGCCATATTATCACATCAAAAATTTAGCTGTTGCGACACAATTTATATGCAGTCAGAGCCTCAGCGATTAGACTAGTGTTGCGTAGACGTTGTCAGTTTGTAGATAAGTAACTGTTGAAGTAATTTTGTATGAGGCACAATGTTGGACATCACAGGGTGACGCGTGCGCGGTGACGTTGACCGGACGCGAGCGATTCTGTATCAAACCCTGTGGAACTATCCTTCGTTGAATACCCGGCTTCTATATTCCTCACCACCCATTTACTTGTCAACTGTTTGTTAAAATCACCTAAAAAGTTCCTAGATTCTTACCAGAAGCCTTTATAGAAATGACTTGACTCATTTAACTAAAATTTCTTGTTATATCTAATAAAGTAGCCAGATTTTAGCACATAAACTTCTTTCTAAAATTACATATTTCTCGAAAATGACAATAACGGGTGTAGGAATGTAGGAACCGCGCTTCACCACTGGCCGGATCAGCTTTCAAACTAATTTATCCGTACCAAAGTTAATAGTTGAGCCTCTGCGATCTCAGCCTAGTAGCCGAAGGGTGTTCCGCGGAGTCATCTCGCTGTGCCGGCGCTTTCGTTTTAATCTTGTGTATAGTCAGCCATTCGGAATAGTTTGCGATTAATTTAAGTGCTAACTCACGCGTACAACTCGTGTACATTACTATTATAGTGAAGGGGTTCCGAGGCGCGCCATTGCCGGTCAGTTACTGTTCGCAAACAACTTTACGCGAGTCGAAACAGCGCGTGGTGCTCTAAATCGTGCGCATGTCGAGTCACGTGAGGCCCCCACACGGTAACCAGTCGGCAGCGGTGCGTCTGGAAATATCCCCACCGTCTAGCTTTATCCATTATTGTGATAAGTTTGTAAAAAATTGTTTTACTAGAATCAGAGTAGATAGCGATGTATAAAGTTTCCCAGTTCGGCGCGGCGAGTGTGAATATTTTGTATCAGTTTTAGTACCGGTGCGTTCCCGATACGTGCATGATGTGACGGTGCACTAGTTGTACACGCGTGCTAGGCCTAAATATAGCTGCAGTCGGATCTCCAGTGTGATTACATAAGTTATGGTAAAGCATCGCGCTCCCACGCCACCCGTTAACCATTTTTCCATTGTGTATATTATTAACATTAGTGCATTTAAATCGAACAAAACAAAAACTGAATCGGACCGGTCCCACCGCCTCCTCTGACGAGGGGTAGACTTACGGAATATTTGAATTGTACTTATTTATTTTGTGATAGATTTCGTAATGAATGCGGGGGGCGAGGCGGTGGCGAGGGGGGCGCGGGCATCGAAGGTTGTTCCCGCTCTTTCTGGACACTTCTACGGGGCAACCAGACCGCTCGTCCTTTAGTCTCTATGACATTGTACTAGTGCAAAGTGCCATAAGCTAAGGGGGTGGAGCGGTTTGTGTAGAATTGTTCGGTGAACACGCTCGCATGACACTGCCAGAGGCGGGTAGGCGCGAGCGCTACGATCTCGTCTATTCCGTGCGTATGTTGATAGTTTTCACTTTTGTAAAAAGTCTATCGTGAGAGAAGATGAAATGGTAAATAATAATTTAAAAAAATATCTGTACAGTTCTATTTGTATAGAAATAATAAATAATGATTAAAAAATTTAAAATTAACGTTGTGATTTCTCTTCTTACGCTTAGTTTTTAAGTGTGTACGGTCGTGTTGGCACCGTGCGAGTGCGGTGCGATTTTGGCATTTCTTTTATTTTTTCTAATTTATTTTTTATTATTGAAAGAAATGACTGTTTACTTTATAGAATAAATAAGTAAGAAAGCATTTTAAAACATTTGTTTGTTTGGTAATTGAGATTTGAGATCCTGTTTCATGCTTCTGTGGAGAACAATTAGCACTGTCGAAACCAATAATGTTCATAAGTAGCATTGAGCATTTTTAATCAAAAAAGAAAGCTGATGGTAGTGGAAGAAAAATAAAACATTTTACAAAGAATCAAATAATCTACCTTTGTAAGTGCTCATAACACAAAATGAGTAGACAAGCAAAATTAAATACATTAAAGGAACATTATCCTCCTGCACACTATTCCACGTTAAATTTTTTTTTAACGCTTAAAGCCTCCCCTCCTTAGGGCCTTATTATCGGCCAATAAAATTGGATACATTATCTGCTTTAAGTACATTATGAATGAGACAGCTACGAAGTTGCACACTGCTGTGATAACGAAGCACTAGAAGTATGTCGTAATAACGCATCTGATATTATCGTTTATAACGGGAGGCTTATATCACTGACAGCCATAGCCCCGGCTCAAATGATCGTATTCATCATACTAACATCAGCCTACCGGGATCACCAACCCAAGACCTCAGTAGGCGACCTTAAAAACTGGGATTCCATACCACGTAAATGGCGTGGTTACATGTGGTCATTAGCCCGAATACGAGTGCCAAATGAATTCGGGTAAACATATCACCAGCCCCACTGCTGGGGCACAGGCCTTCCTTATGGATGGAATAGGGAGATTGGGCCATGACCCACCACGCGGGCCCAGTGCGGATTGGTAGGTGCTAACGACTGCAGATGCGGCTTAACGTGCCTTCCGAAGCACGGAGGAGCTCGAGACAGCAAATTTTTGGTCACCCTTCCAAGTGGCGGCGCTAGACCATATGTGGACGTCGGCGACATCAAGTTCGCGAGGCCTATTTTACTTCGCAGTAAAAAACCGTTAAATTAAGTGAGCCAAATTATAAAATAACGTATGAGTAAACGAGTTTTATTGTTGATAATCAAATGATGACAAAAAAAAATAAAAAAATAGAAATTTCATTACAAAAATAGTGTTGCCAGACAGACGATTCTGAATACCCGTAAAGTACTACTCGCTTCCATCACGCACGTGTTCGAAAATAATAAAAGTTTTTCCCCGAATTGTTCGGGGTAGGCTACCTAAGCCAGGCCAGGAGAAACGAAAATAAATAGGTAACTTGTAAAAATTTTTTGCGAGGCCCCCTCAGACGCGAGGCCGTCGACGTCGCCGACGCCTAGCGCCGCCGCTGCTTCCAATGACCGACCACTGCGAACAACAATCGCAGCCGAACGCGCTAACCACTTGCGCCATCGAGCTCATCAATCGGGTAAACGACTAAGTTTAAATAAACGGAGTCGAGTACGCCCGTAGTTACTCGACACCGTCTTCCAGCCCGTATTACAGTGTAAGGGTCAACTCGCACCGAAAGAGCGGCGAAGCGCAGCGACCCGCTCGGTAGATAAGGGACTCCGCGCGCCTTTTTAAGCTCGCCCGCGATGAATTCACGGGTCGCTCTCCTATGCGCAGTTCACTTCCAACAAAACTCGAGGAAACTTGTGTTTAAGCAGTGAAAATGGGTATTTGGATTTAATTATTATTGCACATATAATTGAAGAAGAAGAGGAAGAGCCCGAAGAGATAAGGAGGGAAAGATTAAAAAGAAACTTTTGGGTACACGACCTGTGGAAGAAAAGATGTTTGTTTGGCCAATTTCAAACATTTTGCACAAATTTACATCTGTATCCTAGTGACTTTTATAAAAAGAACTATGACAAATTTGAAAGTTTGTTAGATTTTCTCAGGCCACATATTCAAAAACAAAATACCAATTATAGATTGGCTATTTCCGCTGAAGAAAGACTATCAGTCTGCCTCAGATGAGTAAATAAATAAAAAATATATGGTTCAATTGTATTGTTGTTTACTGTTCATATACACTATTCTAAAAAAAATAGTTTGAAAGACAACAGTTCTTTATCTAATCTAATAGTCAAATGTATCGATATTGGTTTCGTAATCCTCTTCACGCAATACAGAGTCCGAGGATCTTTGTTGTGATTTCGACATAGCGTGTGGTATATAAGGCGACGGAGGTGGGTCGAATGAACTAGATCTGGAAGTTGAGTTTGAATAAATCGGAAGTGGGGAGTTTGTCTCGTAGATATTTTCTGTTCGTTTCTTGATAACTTGTTGAAGTTGACGGTACTTTGGATGGTTTGTATGAAAAAGATCTAATAGATTTTTTTTTCTGCAGCCGGTATTATTGATGGTGTGTATGAAAAGGATGTGGTTGGAATGTTAGTGGCGTTGTAATTTTCTGTCACAGATCTAGGACTGATACTGGTTGTTTCCAATGGATACTTTGAAGAAGATGGCATGGTTGTATTATTTCCTGTGGCAGATAAGTTGAATTCAGCTGTATCTTGTGTTATGTTATCACCGGTGTCATCGGCAAGTCTTATTTCCATTTCATTTATTAGGCAGAAAATTTCGCCCTTTAATTTGGCTTGAATATTTTTAGGCATTGTTTTCACAGTTCGGCCCATGGTTAAGAAAAAACTTATCATCTTTAATTTGGTTTTCTTCAATATATTGTTTGAACAATGTCGTCGTCCGAGTCCGCACCAGCCGAGCGCTTCTTGTCTCACATAGGATACTTTTTTAGCCCGGAAAGATGCGGCAGGCACATTCTTGTCAAAATTACAAGTGCCCGCCGCTCAAGGCCCTCGTTCTCTTCTTCCCCCACACCCTGTACCCCGCAGACGAGGTCTCAGTTGAGTAATTTACCTATAGCGGCCGTAGCGACAGCTTCAGTTTGTTGATCCCACAGGAATCTAACATTTTTCCGGGCCAAAAATCCTATGGCAAGGCAAGAAGGGTGGACTCGGACGACGACACGGAGGAGGCGGCTGGCGTGCGTAAGAAAGGAAGGGATGTAGTAAATATGATGAAGAAACGACATGGTCCTTATAAATGAAACACCAGTTTTAAATATAACGTATGGTATATTTATTTATGTTTTCGTTTCTTTTCCGATTTCCGTCCGCGTATCCGTCGGCGTACGCCCGCCGCCTCCTCCGTGTCGTCATCGGAGTCCGCGCCGGCCGAGCGCTTCTTTCCTTTACCGCCCCCCTTCTTGTCTTCCAGCTCTTTCATTTCCTGTTGGGATAACAATACATTTATTAAAGTCAACGATAATAAATACCGTAGATACTACAACACGAACAAAATTGTTGACGAAATCTGCCCAAATGGTACATTGGACGATTCACGGAGCTCCGTAAGATGATCGCGTAGTCAAAAATAATAAAAGGCAACATTTTAACATTGAAAGTCACCTTTAATGCGTACGGTATAAAGTCTTAATTAAAACGCATTCGTCAAATAGTTGACAGTTCGAAATTCGACTTCGTAAAATTTTACGACTTACATATTGCTATATGCAGTAGAATATGGACTTTTTTTCTTTGACTCTACGCGCAATTCTGAATGCGCTGTAAGCAATATAGCAGGTACGGACCGCGAGAAAAAGAGACGGCTATATAACCAACCATGCATTTGAAGATCACAAATATTTTATATTAAATCAGTTTATACTAAGTATTTCAACAAAATTTGAATCAACAGCGTAAATTAACAAATTTGCGGATAGTGCGACAAAGAAATGAGCCACGAAATTTCTTGTTCGCGTTGGAATAGTGACCACAGTAAATCGGTTACATTACAACGTATACTCACAATGTTGGTGAGTCTCTGTACCTCTGCCACCCACTCCTTACTCTCCTCTGTCTTGTAAATGGTAACTTCTGCCATCTACAGATATATTCTATAACAATATCCACAGCAGGGGACAGTGTCGATATACTCGCGATGTTGGCGAGTCTCTGTGACTCTGCCACCCTCTCCTTACTCTCCCCTGTATTGTAAATGGTAATTTCTACCATCTACAGATATATTCTATAACAATACGCTCAGTAGGAGACAGTGTCGATATACTCACGATGTTGCTGAGTCTCTGTGCCTCTGCCACCCTCTCCTCACTCTCTTCAGTCTTGTAAATGGTAACTTCTGCCATCTACAGATATATTCTAAAACAATACCCTCAGTAGGGGACAGTGTCGATATACTCACAATGTTGGTGAGTCTCTGTGCCTCTGCCACCCTCTCCTCACTCTCTTCTGTCTTGTAAATGGTAACTTCTGCCATCTACGGATATATTCTATAACAATACCCTCAGTAGGGGACAGTGTCGATATACTCACAATGTTGGTGAGTCTCTGTGCCTCTGCCACCCTCTCCTCACTCTCTTCAGTCTTGTAAATGGTAACTTCTGCCATCTACAGATATATTCTATAACAATAGCCTCAGTAGGGGACAGTGTCGATATACTCACAATGTTGGTGAGTCTTTGTGCCTCTGCCACCCTCTCCTGCAGCACCATAACTTCGCTCTCCTCCGTCTTGTAGAGAGGCAGCTGTTTGCCAATCAGCTGTTCGATGCGCTGGTACAATTCCACGTCATACTGAAATACAAGAGCACGAGATAAATTAAGATTTTGTGGTAGTTCAGGAACATTGTTGATGCAGCAGAGAATGCAATGACAAGTATTTTTGAAGTGAAACTTCTTTACGCTTGACTTGGGGAGTAAGCTGGCGAACACGTTACGAAAAGTGTGATCGGGCGAGGCGAACGGGAGATGAGTGGAAGATATAAGCAAGAGCAAGCAGTGCGTGCGCACATTGTCTTTCTCTCTTTCTCTTATGACTAGTAGATGAAATATGTATATGTACATACATGTATATATTGTACACACACATATATATATATATATACAGATGGAGCTAAAGATGTTTCACTTCAGTCGTGTGGTCATAAGCACACTCGTTTTATTTTTTATTTTTTTAATCACTGCTGTGTTATATGCCTTTGCTAGCCTGGTTCATTACTATCAAGGAGGGCACATCCCGGAGTTTTAGTCGATACAGCTTCGGATTATCGAATTCTAATTTCGATCTAATTTATAATTTCAACCGCCTTATTACTAAACGAGGAATAAGCGTCGACTAGTTACGCCGTGTTTAGTTCATATCACTCAAATGTCATTTGTCATCCAACGAACGGAGACAAAACATGGGCTAACTAATTCAACCCTATTCTTCGTTTATTAATAAGGGGGTAAATGTGTACTGATTTTTAGTTCTCATTTCATCCGTTGTGGCGCTGCTGTTCAAGTATCCATACAAAATTTGACAATGACATTTCGCATTCGCAAACGTAACGAATTCGATAGTGATACGTGCTAAGACTACAGTACCCCTAGCACGAACTATTATCGAATTTGAATAGTTATATAGAATAGAGTAAATGGAATATTTAAGGAGTTGTCAAAATTCGGAGTTTTTGGGCCTCAGTTTTCTACATACCTGTGTAACGAAGGTGATGGCCTTGCCCGCGCGTCCAGCCCTGGCCGTGCGCCCCACGCGGTGGATGTAGTCCTTACTGTGCAGCGGGATGTCCAGGTTCATCACCACATCCACATGGGGGATGTCCAAGCCTCTGCAAATGTCAACAATTATTTTATTGAAGTGACACTTCAGACGGGGTGTAAATATTTTTAAATTTTCATTTTTTTTATATTTTCAACACTCACACCAATTAGCCTAGCCCCAAAGTAAGCACTGTAAGGCTTGTGTTATGGGATGCTAGGGTAACGGATAGAATACATATAATGTACATATATAAGTATATTTATATAGAAATACATATTAAACATCCATGACTGGAGTACAAATGCTCGTATTCATCACACAAACATCTGCCCCCACCGGGATTCGAACCCGGGACCTCTCGAGTCGGCGACACCATGAAACCCGGCGTATAAACCACTCGGCCACGGAGGTCGTCAATGGAACAATCCTATGGAAAAGATGAAACGGAAATGCGTCGCGAGCGTCACACGACTATGTATGTATATATTTATATATACATGTATGTTTGAGTGTGTGTGTGTGTGTGTGTGTGTGTGGGATGAGTGCGCAGTTCTTCCGGCGAGCATGAAAGTTGGGAGGAAAAGTCGGCGAAGGCTGAAAAGCTACGAGCGAGCCCAGCTAGTACCTCATAAAATAAAAAGTATTTTTAAGTACAAAGTCATCGAAATGTTCTGCTTATAGTGTAGACTGATCGCAGTGAGCGGTAACACAAAAAAAAGTACATAGATAGCTAAAGAAAAAAAATGTCAAATGTTTAATGCTTGTAAAGGTATTCATTTGACATTGTGGGTTACCTACAATGCGAAGAGATGACGCTGCCTTGCAGCTTAAGAAAGGCTAGAAAGAATTCGACACGGCCATTGGGGACGCAGTAGCATAATGGTCAGTGCATTCGCCCGGATAGCGAAGGCTGCGGGTTTTAGTCCCGTCTGCTACCTGGTCTGCGTGGATATTTAATATTTTCAAACTACTATGTTAACGTAAAAATGAGACACAGGCCATTTATGTTGCGTACTTGCAAATTTGTACGAAACCCTCAGTAGGCGAGGCAGACTCGCACTTGATCGTTTTTTTTTTAATAGACATTACCCCTAGCACGAACCAATATCGAATTCGTATCGTTTGCGAGTCCGAAATGTCATTCATTATCAAATGTGTACTGATTTTTATTTCTTGTTACGTACTTTGTGCCGCTGCTGTTCAAGTTTCCATACAAAATTTGACATTGACATTTCGATTTGCAAACTATTCGAATTCGATAGTAGTTCGTGCTAGGGGTACAGTTAAGTATTAGTAAGCTCACCTAGAAGCGACGTCCGTGCATATAAGAATGGAGCGACTCTTGTTCTTGAACTTGTTGAGCGCCGCGAGCCGTTTATTCTGCGACATCTGCCCGTGTAACGGAACGGCCGCCAGCCCCAAATTCCGGAGCAATAACGCCGCCCTCAGTGCGCCCGCGCAGGTCGACACGAACACTATGAAAGAGTTGCCCGATAACTCGTTCAGTATGTGCACCAAGTACACGTCCTGTGAATCAAATAAGTTCAAGTTATAAAACTGTAGGATCAGTTATCATCAGCTTATTAATGTCCCCACTGCTGGGGCACAGGCCTTCCCTTTAGATGGAATAGGGAGTTTGGGCCATGGCCCAGTGCGGATTGGTGGGTGCTAACGACTGCAGATGCAGCCGGGACCAATGGCTTAACGTGCCTTCCGAAGCACGGAGGAGCTCAAGATAGTAAATATTTGGGTCACCCATCCAATGACCGACTACTGCGAAAGTTGCTTATCTTCAACGATCGCAGCCGCACGCGCTTATCACTTGTGCCATCGGGCTCGTCAGAACAGTGGGATTCACAATCCCTATAAAGCCTAAGAGAAAGCAGCCACAAGCTGAGGACGAGTTTTTTCATACATTGTGTATACTAATTCTTGCACCAATGTGCGTGTCTCGAAACATTCCCGTTCACTCCAGCCAGCCTAAGTTAGCCCAGAGGGAAAGCAGCCTTGGCAGACTGCTTTAGGCTTCCGGAAGCGATGCTAGCGACTGAAGAAGTCGTGCCTGTTAGCCGGTCACACTCCTGCATTCCATGATGACATGCTGTGGCTTTTCTTCTGCCTCCATGCATTCTCTGCATAGGGGGCTGTCTGTTACTACTATTGTATATAGGTGTTTTTTAGGGGACAATGACCAGTCATACGAGTATTTTGTATACTATCCACTGCGAGTGACCACTACTAGTGACTGAATGACGACCTCGGAGGTCCAAGCGGTTTGTACACCGGGTTTCATGGTGTTGCCGACTCGCGAGGTCCCGGATTCAAATCGATGAATACGCACATTTGTACTGGAGTATATAGTAGTATACATGGATGTTTAATATGTATTTCTATGTTAGTTTTTCAGGGCGGTTTCCGCACTTAGTCCTAATCATTGGACCATTGTGCGTGTCTTGAAACATTCCCGTTTACTCCAGCCAGCCTAGGTTAGTCCAGAAGGAAAGCAGTCTTGACAGACTACTGCAAGCTTCCGGAAGCGATGCGGGTGATTGGAGAAGTCGTGCCCGTTGGTCGGCCACACTCCTGCATTCCATAATGACATGTTGTGGCGTTTCCTCTGCCTCCATACATCCTCTGCATAGGGGCTGTCTGTTACTCCTATTGTGTATAGGTGCTTGTTTAGGGGACAATGACCAGTTAGGGTTCCTATAATTATGCGGAGTTTGTCCCTATTAAGTCTGGTAAGGGTGCGGGCAAGTCTCTTGTTTGCCGCCGGAACTGCGTTTTTCGTTTGCCGGCATCCTTCACCTGTTTTCCACTCAGTCAAGTGTAGTTTCTGAGTTCTTTCACGCAGCCACGTCTTAATTTGGGCCTGAGGTATGGGCAGAAGAGGTTTCGGACCATACACTTTTGTGTCTGCTCCTCTCTTAGCCAATTCGTCTGCTGCGTCGTTTCCGATTGAGTTGCTGTGTCCTTTTATCCATTGCAGAGTTACCGTGTTGGTTACCGCAATGGATTGAAGGGCATTGTGGCACTCCATTACCAGGACAGAGTTTATTGTGTTGCTACTTAGGGCACGGATGCACTGTCAGAGATGATCTTAATGTTGAACTCTCTGATGTCTCTGGCTGCAACCGCCTGTGCCGCTCTGGTAATGCCAATACATTCCGCCTGGAAGATTGTGCTTAGTTTGTCTAAGGTTGTGAATTGAGGTCGTTCGAGAAGACACCGGCTCCAGTACCAATGTTGGTTTTGGAGCCATCTGTGTATATCCTAACTTCCCCGGCGCCAGAGTAGTCTACCTTTTCCGCGGTAAGTTGGATGTTGTATCTTCGATCAAAGACGTGTTGACCCAATATCTATCCATAGGTGCCTCCAGGAGTGGGATCTCCGTCATGCACCTTTGGAGAATATTGGAGTGTGTTGTTACTGTGTTTGATCTCCATAGGCCCAAAGATTTTAGTCTCAAGGCTGCTGCTATTGCCTCTTCTTGTATGACCATGTCTAGAGGTCTTAAGTTCAAGAGGTACTCTAATGCAGCAGATGGAGTTGTTCTCATGCATCCAGTTGCTGCTACGCTCGCCAAGCGCTGCAGACTTTGGAGTTTAGATTTCACTGTGGTCAGTTGGGTCCTGGGCCACCAAACAACTGAACCGTAGGTTATTGCTGGCCTGATAACTGCTGTGTATAGCCAAAGAGTGATCTTTGGACTAAGACCCCATTTCTTACCAACTAATCTTCTACACTGGTTAAAAGCTATGCAGGCCTTCTTTGTTTTAGATTCAATATGACTCGCCCAGTTCAATTTGTTATCAAGGATTACGCCCAGATATTTCACTTGTGTTGATAGGGAGAGTTTGGTATTAAACAGTTTTGGTAACTGTAGTTCGGGTAGCTTCCTTTTGTTGGTGAAAAGAACAAGCTCTGTTTTATTCGGGTTGTATGTATTTCTATATAAATGTATGTACTGTATATGTATTCTATCCTAGTATCCCATAATACAAGCCTTACAGTGCTTACTTTGGGGCTAAGCTAATTGGAGTGGGTGTAAAAAAAAAGTGCACTTGCTAAAGGCAAGATTTTCCTCAGGGCTTTACTTGGCCCCAATATCAGCTGGTGTCTGTATATAAGTGCCATATGTTGCCATTTATATATGGGGCAAACCAAAAATAAAAAAAAAGAATTACTATTGGTTGTCAAGTTATCAAATAAATCACGGAATCTGTCCCTGTATACGAGCAGCAGCCAAACCCTAGTTTGAGTTGCCTGGTAAATCATGCTGTATGTGCATCAAGCTATACATCCTGTAAGTTAAACAAGTGGAAGAGCTACAGAATAAGTACTGTTGAGTGTGTACTTAAGTATTCACAGAAATTACCAATTTTTAAAATCATTTTTTTTATCCAATAATTGCATGCATTTCTTTAATAAGAATGTATTATTCAATTCTTAAATTGATTCTTGTCTTCAAGTTAATCTAGATATAGGTTCTAAATATGATATAATTCCAGCCAACTGGGATGAGTTCAATAATTTACTGTAACATTTCTTTCTTATTAAATATCTAAGTTACAGGTATAATTTACCAACCTTAAATTTCACAGGAATGAATACATAGTACTGCTGCAGTTTATCGACAGTCTGGTACTTAGTAGACACTTCCACTTTGACGGGGTCCTGCAATGAGGCGCGTTGTAACTTCTGCACTTTCTTCGTCATAGTGGCCGAGAACAGGTATGTGCGTCGCTCACGAGGGATTACACGCAATATCTTGTCTACTTCCACCTCAAAGTCCATGTTGAGGATACGGTCAGCTTCATCCATTACCTATTAATGAAATATTCAGACTTATATTAATAAATAACATTAAAAATTAAGTACCTAATCCTGCTAATGTTATAAATTTGAAATTTCTATATTCTTTACTTAGTCACAATAGTAAACGCATTTAGCGTTTACTATTGTGACTAAGTAAAGAAGATTTGGATTAGACTTGCAATGAATATTCAGTTAGTATTCGGCCTATTCGGCTGCATTTTTATATTCGGCAGAATACCTAATATCTACATATTATTCGGCCGAATACCGAATACTTAAATAATATATTTCGTCATAGAGAAATAATTGGTAAAATGAGAAATTAAAATCGTTTGATTGCGCGTATATTCATATTTTCATTTCTGTTATATATATCATTTAAGAAGTCATTGGTACATAATCATATTCTGAATTGGAAAAATGGAGGATTCTATGTATTTGAATTGTTGTGGAATTCAAAATTTAGAAGGGTAAGGTTCTCATTTCTTTTATAATCATTTATTAAGTAGTCATTAGGTCATAAAACAGGTACTTAGTTTAATCATTTTCTGTATTAAACAAGTTAAGAATTTTTCTATGTATTTCAATTATTTTCATAATCAAAGTTTAGAAGGGGAAGGTTATGGTGCAGAAAGACTAACTTTTCTGCATTTTTACTTCTTTTTTTCTCATAGACCATACCTGCTTCAGAGAAAAGGCGCTCTGAATAAACACTACTTCCATGCGCCAACAAATATTTTGCTGCAATCTTAATCAAACATGGAAATTCAAATTCCTTGCTGCCACCATGTATACGGGTTGTCATGACGTGATATATTACTAATATTTAAGAAAAGATCCATTTCTGTTCAAACTGCATTTGACTGAATTGCACTGCAAACAAAGGAGCCCGAAACAATCACGTCTGTACAAGTTTTTGGTGCTAAAATCCAGCTGAATACTTTTGCCTAATATTCGGCTATTCGGTCAGGGGCCTCGCCCTATACTATTCGTTGCAAGTCTAATTTGGATAAAAATTGGCACACATAATTATAGTAATTAATATACCTGGATTGAGATATAGGATGTAGCTTATATTGGAAAAATATCAGGATCCAATAATAATGTGAGCGACAGCTATGAATAAAATGTAATAAGATACAAATATTGATACTTGCCAAGTACTTCAATGCCTTCAAGTTAAATCCTTTTGTGTTTTCTAGATGGTCTATCAGTCTGCCAGGTGTTGCGATAATTATGTGTGGCTTCTTGGACAGCTGGAGGGCCTGTGCTACCATATCCATCCCACCAACAATCACTGCACATTTCACCCCTATGCTTGCTCCTAGATTGTATTTTAGAAATTATGTAAATGCTTGTAATTGAATGTCAAAAAAAAGTAGTCACAATGATAAATTCACTCTCCTTTAGAATAAAAATGTCAACAACGACCTCCGTGCCCAAGTGGTTTGTACTCCGGGTTTCATGGTGCTCAAGTAGTCCTGTGATTGAATCCAGGAGGCAGATGTTTGTGTGATGAATACCAGCATTTGAACTCCAGTCATAAATGTTTAATATGAATTTCTATATAAATATACTTATATAAGTACAGTATATGTATTCTATCCTTTACCCTAGTATCCCATAATACAAGCCTTATAGTGCTTAGTTTCTCAAACAATAAACACAAATAAATATTCCTAAAACTTATGTCTTTATGTGGCATGGTATCCTTTGGCTAATTCTGTATGATTATAAAAAAAATACTATTAGTTTAAAACTGACCAAGTGCAAGTTGTACATGCAGAATTCAGGGTTCCATGCCATGGCAAAAGATTTAACACAAGGTTAAGTGCAATGAAAAAAAACCAAGAGAGCCTTACAGTAGTCGCTTTTGATGTGTAACATTTGAAAACCTCACCTTATATCAGTAAAAAAAGAAATAAAACCTACTACAAATGGAATAAGCCAATTGAACATTATGTTCTAAAATCAAATCGAATAGCAAGCGTTTTCGCGACTTCCTGTTACACACTTCCGTCCCGTTTCACGAAATCACTCCAACAAATTGCAGGAAAGCGAGAGGAAAGATGTTACACATCAAAAAAACCTTTTGTATTAGTTCCCTCTTTCATTTCCTGTAGCTACAGCTACGGGTTATAATATTCATAAGATACAAATGCTGATAAGATGGACTAGGTGTAATTGTTGGATTCTTGTATATGTTTCCCTCTTACTCCAAAATGCAGACTAAAGTTAGTCATGGTTTAAACGTAATGCCGTGTTTGTCTTCTTATTAACAAACAATATTGACAGCATCACTTTAACCAGATTTAACTTAAAATTTTTGGGGATTATGGCTGGATATGGTCTCATATTAAGTCAATGTCTTGTCTTATGAGGTTAGTCTTGAACTAATGTCATAAAATAAAACCATAATAATGGCTCCTGTGCAATATAAACTATTTCTTACCAAGGGCTTCAAATTGTTCTGATATTTGGAATGCAAGCTCTCTTGTAGGTGTTAATATAAGTGCAAAATATCTCTGTGGATTCTCCAGCAAAGCCTGTAATATTGGCAGGGCAAAAGCACCAGTTTTCCCCGAACCAGTTTCAGCAAGGCCTATAATGTCTTTTCCTTGCAAAGCAACTGGTATGGCTTCTCTTTGAATTTTTGATGGCTGTTTCCATTTTAACTCTTCGCAAGCTTCACATAAAACGTCAACAACGCCCTGAAAAAAAGGAAATTTGAGGTAAATAAACCTAACCTAATCTTTTATTCTAAAGCAAGTAAAGGTTTACAACGCAAATTACCAAATCTTTGAACGTCCCCGTCTCTTCAGTAACCTCATCATTAGAAGAAGTTATCTTCATTATCAAAAGTAAAGAATGTGTTCAGTTCTTCACTAAAATAAACGATGTATGCATCAGCTGTTTAACACGACTTCACGTGTTTATAATTGAATGTATTCATGATGTATTCGCAGAAGTAGGGATGTTCCGATACTAGTAAATACGAGTAGGTACTCGATACTTTTGATTCGATACCAAGTATTTATAGCATCGAATCAATCTTGCGATAAATACTCGGTATCGAAACAAAAGTACTTGGTATCAAATCGAATCAGCACCACCATTTAAAAAAGATAAAATTTCCGAACGCAGACAGTATGAGAGAGCAAAAGCCCTTTCGCTCGGTTACCGGTATTCATCGCATAGCGGTGTGGTTGCGCCAGGCGAGCCGAACTCGTCCAACTTCATCCGAGCCCGAGCCGAAAACGAGAGAGCTGTCCGCCCGCCATGTAAGTTGTCATCATTGGCAACATAATGAATTTTCAAACTGTCAAGTCGAGATTTAATTTGCATATACAAATGATTGTTTTCAAGTAATTTTATTTAATGTGTTATCATGGCACCACCAAAATCAATAAAATTTTACCAAATAAAACGAAACAATTGCAAAATGTAAACAATGTTTTAAGTCTGTGAATTCTGTGTGAATTTTTGATAAAGGCAAATTAGAGAATAAGCAAATAAAGGGACCAATGAAAGGTAGGATCCTATACTTTTCTTTTTGACGTGACAACGTCTTAAATTAGGTTGCGGCTGGGAGTCACTTATGAAAAAGTGTAACGCTCGGTAACGTTACGATGAGTCTCTCGTGTTAAGTTTAAGTTTACATGTACAATGTTTTAGTAAACAAAATATATTTCTATAGTTAAAATTTGTGCAATTCTTATTTTCATTCAATTCCTTGTTCCTATTGTGCAATTTAATTATATTCATATCAATAAATATTCTACCGAGAAAAAGACGTTGTCACGTAAAATCTTCGCCCGTAAAACCGACTTTACAGGCAACCATTTTTTGCAACTGCTCTCCTAAAATGTTAAATAATCCCTTTGAATTCCTAAAATGTTAAAAAAAAGTGACGCAAAACATTTATATTCTCGTTTTTTCTCACTTTTGTTTTAATTTTTGTTCTTCGACATTTATTGTTTTTACTTTAGTTTCCTCAAAGTAAAAAATAAATAAAAATAAGTGCTAAAAGTATCGATATCAGTAAGTATCGATACTTTAGGAGTATTTATTTAAGTAGTATCGAAAAAAGATTTGAGTACTATCGAAATGAGTAGGTATCGATACCTTGATGGTATCGGAACATCCCTACGCAGAAGAGGAGAAAGAAAGGAGAACTATTTCACTTGTGATGATGGCAAGTGCGGGCGAGACGGATATATTATTATTTTTTAGTTTTACGGCTGTGAATTTCTCCATTTCGGTCTGAAAAATATTTATCGTTTTAGAAATTATCATATCGGCTGTATATAATTATATACAACGGCTGTATTAAATATATGATATAATAATATATACAACAATTATAATACTTATAATTGTTGTATTTATTTATTTTTCGCAATTTGATACAAGAAATGCTAACTTTTAATAGAACATTTTTTTACCAAGTTTTCATCTAGACTTGAAACTAAAAATATCAGTCTTTCCTTTTTATTCATTATAGAGGATGACAAGGATATATTGGTGCCGACTCTAGCATGATTCTCTAAACCTAAACTTAAATTTGACAGTAGTATATCCCTGTCATTCTTTAGAATGAAAAGGAGAGACTGATGTTAAATTAAGTTTTAAGTTTAGAAAATCACGCCAGAATTGGCACCACTGTTGTTAAATTTTAGGTTTAGAGAATAATTACAGAATCTACCCCAAAGAGGGTTACCATCCGTCCGGATTTGACCGGACATGTCCGGTTTGTTTGCCTTTTGTCCGGACTTCGTCCGGCTTTTTAATTCGTCCAGATTTTTTTAATTAAATGGAATATGAGTTAAATTATATCAAATAAGTCTCATAATCTTTAATAAGTTCTCATTAAATATAAATCATCTTTAAAAATCAACAACGAGGCCCCCCTCGTGATGCGAGCGTCTGCTACCACGCGTATAATATCACTGTAACTATGTTTGCATTCTGTGACTAAAGTGTCCGGACTTTTATCGAAATGTCCGGCTTTTTGTCAGGACTTTTAAAAATTTTAAATAGCAACCCTAACCCCAATGAATAAATCAGAGTATTTGTACTTTAGTCTGAATCAAGAAATTTTAAACTATATAAGTTCCTTGATCTGAATACACCTTTGTTACTTTGACGTTTTCATTTTGATCTAGTGTAAGTTCCTTGATCTGAACACACCTTTGTTACTTTGACGTTTTCATTTTGATCTAGTGTTGTGTCGATCTATGTTTTTGATAATCGTTTACTACTATTAGATTAAAATCGCTAATGTAGCTACTGGTGTCGATTCTGGCGTGATTCTCTAAACTTAAAACTAAATTTAACATCAGTCTCACCTTTTCAGTCTGTATAGAGAAGGACAAGGATGCACTGTTGTCAAATTTAAGTTTAGTTTTAGAGAATCATGTTATAACTGACACCATTGTGATGATGTTTTTTTTGATTTTGTAATCTAGCCATCAGCGCAACTGAATTACTATAGAAGAATTAAAAATGAGACCCCTCGGGTCTACAAAAATTGAAATTCCGAACTGCCACGTGAAGTGCCGCAATATACGCTATTTCGATATCAAAGAAAAGGCTGTATTTATGCTAAGTATCTTTTGCTAGACTTGGGAACATAAAAAAAACCGAAAGAATTTTTGTTGTGGTTGTGTTTTGAGGTTACAAAGAAGAAAATATTGTGATTTATTACAAATTTACTAAGATCACAGAGATATTTACAACGGTAAATATATCAATAACTAGTTCTGAATACGGACGAAAATGGCCAAGCATCATCCAGATTTAATTTTCTGCCGAAAGCAACCGGGAGTTGGTAGGTTATAGTTGGTCAATAGTTTAATCATATCGTATTGTTTGCGGTGTATTATTTATCTTTAATGTGTGAACGTATTTTTTACAGCTATAGGTCGTTTATGCGAAAAGTGTGATGGTAAATGCGTGATTTGCGATTCTTATGTACGTCCCTGCACTTTAGTACGCATTTGTGATGAATGCAACTATGGATCCTACCAAGGACGGTGTGTAATATGCGGAGGTCCTGGTGTATCAGACGCATATTATTGTAAGGAGTGTACAATACAGGAAAAAGATGTGAGTATACTTGATTTGACATTGTAATCATCCTACTACGCTTGGTGCACACGACCAGCCTCCGACGCTAAGGGTCGCGCGATGGTCGGCTTTGTCATAGCAGACGGGGGCTGCTTTCCTTCTGCGCCTCCGGGCTCTTAATAATACTAGGGGTAGGGCAGACCAAGACCACGGCGCGGAGTGTCGGGGTTGAGGAACTCGGTTCTGATTTAAAGGTTGTTGTAACGCCACATTTACTGTTTTTCTAAGTGTTCAGCCCATCCAATTTTTTATTTACTCAACCACAATTGCTGAGCCAAAGTAAGGTAGATCAAACATGGCAAATTAAATACTTTTTAGATCACATGGACTAAATGGTAGAATAAAATTTTTTTTAGGGTAGCTCCCCTACATGTAACCTGGGGATGATTTTTTTTCATCATCTACCCCATCGTGTGGGATATCGTTGAATAGGTCCTATAAAATTACTTAGGGGTTCCTAAGACTATTTTTTGATTTAGATATCTTTTTGCAAAATATTGAACTTGAATATAAAATATTAGTCATAAGAGCCATGATCTGTAAACCTTCACAAGCACAAATCTTAATGTTGCAACATTTTACTTTTCCGTCTTCCTGGATTATTTGCTGCATTTTAAGGTAACTGAAGCCTCTTCATTCTTCAGTGGGTCAAGTAAATAGCTTCGTAAGACAAATAAATACATAGTCCGTCTATTCCTAGTTATATTTCTAATGAATAGTATCATTGTTTTAGAGAAGATAGTCAAAATTTGCTGTGGTTATGAGAAAGTTCTATATTCCTGCAAAAGGGCATTAATAATCTGATAAGGATACCTATCATACATTATTGTCACAAAAATATGTCTTATCTAACTTTTGGCAAAAAAATATGCTTAAATTTACACAATTTGTTTCTTTTTTTGCAGAGGGATGGCTGTCCGAAGATTGTGAATTTGGGAAGTTCAAAGACTGATCTATTCTATGAGAGAAAGAAATATGGTTTTAGAAGACATTAACTGTGAGCAAAATTTTAGGTACATAACTCGTGTGTAATTCATATGCGTTGTTACATAATAATAATCTATTATTAATTATGATGTAATTCAGATAGATTATTAAAGTTTTAAGACTTATAATTCATAAAATATGTTGACCCAAGATTCAAAAACCTTAATTACTTCTTTTGTAATTAAAGGTTTATTTTTAACTGAAGGTAATTTAATTAAATGTAAATTGTTTAAAGTCAAGTATTAAGTTGTTGGCAGTAAGTGTTAATCCCTTGCAAAACATAACATAGGATTCATCACCTGCTAAACTTTCTGTGCAGATCTAAGTGCTTATCAACAGAGACACAGTAGATTCGGTAAGTAGTGCTTAAAGAGTCCATATTTCTAAACCTCTGTACCAAAACTATGAAAACTAATATATTGATGACTCTGTTGTTATTGGGGAGTTGGGTCATGAATTGTGAGAACATTGTTTTACTCTTTAACTAAGGTGAACAATTATTACATTTAGAAAATATTGTAGTACTGTAAAGTAGAGACTTCATAAGTGGATTATTTATTATTAATTCATCATTTTTGTTTGTGGTCTGAAGTTTGTGTTCAATTCCAAACATGCATTTACTACATCAACTTAAACATAATAAAAAACATGTCATGTAGCTGGATTTTTTTATTCATATTTTTTTTATTCATAGATAGGTCCGACAAATGACTCCGTCCCACCTGATGTTAAGTGACGGTGAAGTCCAGGCGTTCGCGTTCATCTTCAGATAGCTGGTACAGCAGTTCTACCTGCCACACCAGCCATCCTCACCTAGCCAGCCTGCATGTTGTTACTTCACGCCTTTTTTTATTATTTCATTTATGTAGCTTGTATCAATTATGTAGCTTGTAATGGTGAAAAAAAAAAATATAAAATTGGTCCACTAGTTTTTTAGTTCATTGTTACAAAAATAAAAACCATTCCTCTTTGTATTATTAGTAAATAATAATTATGGATATTTTGGCATACAATTTTCATGTAAAATTTAAAAGGATCAGGGTTTTCAAAAATAAATGTATATTTTCTCTTAAAATTCTTTATTTCTCACTTTTGTTAGTAATGACATTAAGTTTTTCTATACAATAAAAAGGTACCTAAGCTAATAAACCTATTAACACTTTTGTTATTGTACATTATGTTACATCATCGAAAACACTTAATTGGTACTTTAATACTACGAAGTTCTTGTATGAATGACAATTTAAAATTTTATAAAAGATTGTATACAATCGTTGCATATATTGGTAAAGAGTTAAGAAGAGAAAACTTAATTCAATAACTTGTATCTCTATCTCTTCTTCGCCTTTAAATTCCGATGCCTCCCTGTAATCTGTCATGTCAAAGTAGATTATTTCGTCAAATCGTCTTTGATATTAGTAGTTTCATTCCTTACACTCTTTTTTAATTACCACCACACCAATTTTGATGACCCTAATTAATTTTTAAAATTTTCTTATTTCATAATGAAATAACTTTCAAGATAATAGATCTTTAATCAGGACGCTTATGCATGTTACAAAGCAGTTATAAAGTAAGTAGAAACATTTAAAAAATTTACTGCCGTAGCTAAGTTACAGCTTTTCGCGATACAAAATTAATACGAAAATTTGTTATCAGATTGAACAGTCAAGGCACCTTTGGTAGAAATACTCTTTGAAAGCGCCTTTATCTATCTGCAATAAAAACGGAAGTTACAAGGAAACTTACCCTACCAATGCAGCGTCGCTAAGTAAAATTTCGAGTGAGCGTCTGAATCATTGTCGCTAACATTTTTGTATATGTTGAATAAACCATTTCCGATTCCGAATCGACATCGTTAAGAGGATTGCTCTTCGTTAAGAGGAGCGGTACAAATAGTTGAAAGAAGATGGCCGTTTGGGTATAGGCTTTTGAATGACGACGTTCCGTAGGCAGACCGGTACCAGATGAACCAGCGACCTGGTGGAAGGCGCTGATATGACCGATTGCTGTGGAGATAGGAGGCCTACGCTCACCAGTGGGCGTCATAACATGAGATCTAGCTAAACGACGACGTTCGCAGCTAATAATTAGAAACCGCTCAACGTGGAAAACACCTATAATATCGCTCTTATTGTACGTAGCAATAAAGGCACTGTCACCTTAGATTATAACAAGAAGGGAAGATACTGTACGCTCATACTAGCATCAAATAAAATATGATCCGACTCAACTACATAAGCAACTCTCACACGCACACTTATGTATATAATCATTCAATCGAGAGAGCGAGACAGAACTGTACGCTTCTTTTGTATTGTTGTCCTTTTCTTGATAACAAAATGGCGATTACGTAAATGACATTCACGACGAACCGTGATTTTTGTGAAAAAAATATTTTTACAGTTTTACTAATGAAAAGTGTTGCCGAGGGTTTTTATAAAAGCATCGAAGGCATTGTTATATTGAGTGCACATGCAGCGTGTTTGAATGCCCAATTGTGACTAAAGCTAATTATGGTCATGCACCACAATTTAAGCGGAGCACTTATGAGCCGCGAGTGCCGTATCTTCCCTTTTTGTTTTAATCTAAGGCTGTCACTATCAAATACTATTCACAGATGGACACCTTGATAACCAATTCAACTGATAAACAAACTCGTTGTCAAACTGTACCGTGTGGAAGCAATCTAAGTTTTGCGATAGCCAAGTCTCTTTCATTCTGTACTAGCTGTGGTTTGGTGTGGTGTTGGTGGCTGGATTTGTCCAAATGTTGGGTTCGTCGGGGTTGGTTCCGGGGCTAGCTTCTCCGTAGGCGGGTCTTGCGGGGATGATGGGCGATCGGACACACACACTGGAAGCAAAGACCGATAAAATATTACAACGTAGAGTTGTATAGCTAGAGAATTGTGAAAAAGTAGGGTATTTGGAAAGAATATTGGGGTTATTCCCACTGACCCCAGTGGGGACTGGGACTGTAGGAATGGTCGAGGCAAACATTAGACTGTTGTATTGGTAGCTAATAAGGGCGTGCGCTGTGTTAAGCGGAAACACGAAACACTCTCGCTTACGCAACGCAGGCCCTACATGAGGCCGTTGGAAATAACCACAATATTCAGTTTTGTTTTAAGTAGTTCCATGTGTGTTTGTCAATGAACAAGTGTACTTACATTTTTATGTTGTTAGTGTTTGTGAAGTGTAAATGTAAGAACTTACGTAGGTAGGTAGTGTATGTAAATTGGTGAAGCTTAAAAGTAACAACAATATACAACGTGTGATTTAAATAACGCAAAACCAAGACCTAGAGAATATTTATTTACTTGCATGATACCTACTTGGAATAATATTTGTTCTGGTCGACTTATTTATAGCTTTAGCATGCTGTATCGTATAACTAAATGGCCAGCGCATTACGACAAACAAAAAAACTATAGAATTGAAGTTTAGTGACGATCAATGTAAAAATACAACTGGTGAAATATATTTTATGGCAGCGTCTTTAGCGGTGATATTTAAAAAGAAATTGCCCAGTTGCTAGTGGCGGGGACACTGGGAATTCGCCAAATTTCTAGATGCCGCTGGTGGGGCTTCTGGAAATAATAGACCAGGGGTGCGATGGCGGCTCGGCATCAGCGACTGGAGCGGTGAATGATTTCAGGCATTTGAGTAAGTGTGATTGACAATAAGAAGTTTGTAACATGAACGACAATGATTTTATTTTCAATGGAAAATTCTCACTTCAAATGGGACACCACAAAAGCTTAAATTGGTGTGCGCAACATTTATAATTAAAGAATATCCTTTGCCAAATTGGAATTCTTGCCTGAATAGCGCTAACGAAACGAAAACTTTTGAATCGAAAGGCATTTAGAGAATGCAACGATAATTTGTAACTGGATGAAGTTACCTGACGCTGCGCGTATGATGCGCGTGCGTCGCCATTCGACGTGTACACACACAAACAACTTCATGAGTTTGCTATGGGCGCTGTTGCGCAGCTCGCGCCAGGCGCGGACTTGCCCACTAGTTACGCGAAACCTGCGTGAACACTCAGATACTGTACCTTATGCTTCGGATACTGTACCTTGTGCTGCGGTGGCAGTCTGAGAGGGAAATGTCGTAAGTCCTAAAAATTTTAAAATAGTAGGTATTTGTGTTATTTTAGAGAAACTTATTAAGTTTCTGTGCCTTTAAAAATAATTAAGGAAAATCCGTTAGTTGTTGACCCCATACAAAAGTTTTGGGTCGCATGATGATCCGCCCAAAATCTTTGTCTGCAGCCGCGCCTAATCTTTTGTTTGATATGCTTATCGCGTCCGCAATAGAGTAGTTGCAGAGGGACTGAAGGACCAGGCTAGTCCGACCAGCATAAGATGCGCCCCAGGCTGTATTGTCAATATTCTGGCATTTCCATTTAGTTTGCAACTACATACATAAAGGACTTAATTTATAAGTATCAGGTTTTGCGTTATTTAAATTTGCGCGTAGTATAAAACAAAATATAGGTAAACCATTTATCACACCACCCTTTCAACGGGTGAATCAATTGAACACATTCCTGTAATTGCAAAGATTAGTTCACGTTATTTAAAGGCTACCAAACTACGCAATATTCATCTTGCGATAATCCGAAGAGATTGGCTCCACTTCCAAGAGGAGACTATCTCAGTGATATTGTCGGTGTGCCACGTACTTTAATACAGTCTCATAGATTTTGTCAGTGGTTATGCAGAACATACAGTTCTCGCTGCGGGAGTGCAGCGAGCGCGTGGTCAAACATCAGGTGACGAAATTCGTTCCCATAGCGAGTAGTTACTAACACGTGTCCCTGTAGCATGGGCACCTCAATTTACATTATATCATGTTTTTTATCGCGTCCAACCGTCAAATTCCATAGTAATTTCACAATTAAACGTGATAAAAACGAGTTATATATCATATCGCAGTGCTCGTGCTAGGGGTGGAGACTCGTTGATGCGCTGACAGAATCGTGGCCTTTTCAAGATTACCCGATGAAAGTAGCGCTAGATAGACTAGTTATTCTCCGAATCGCTCGCTCGAATATTGCGCAGTCTAATACGCTCTTCGGTACCAACCGACAAATGTGCCACAAGCATAAATATGATGGACAATTTTTACCTCTTATGCTGGACTAGAAGTGAACTAACCATTACAATTATATGTGAGTTGCTAACTTTCTCGCACAAATACTAAGAGTAGGGAAGCCCAAGCGGGGATTTTGGGATTTACTCGAGCGCGGCAGAATAACATTAGGGGGTACATAACCTTGCCCCTTCTAAAGTGCTCTCACCATACCTGAGCCCCCCTTATACACGGTGTTTCAAAAATACCCTTAAAGCGAAAAGGGTGTTAGAGGTTCCCTTATATAGAGCTCATTGCCAATAAAAACAACTGTAGCTTAATATTATTATTTTTCATAAAAAAATAAATGAAATTCAATGAGCTCTATTTAAGGGACCCTGTAACACCCTTTTCGTTTTAGGGGTATTTTTGAAACACCGTGTATAAGGTCTAACTTCTAGGGCAACACGCGAACTATCTCTAAACGAGCATTCGAAGACGCGCGTTGATTTTTGGCATGTGAATCTAAGCTTAGATAGATCTAATACGAAATGTAGCAAGATTATAGTATTGACAGTGTTTATGTCGACTTTTGTTGCTCTACCAACCACGCAAAAGTTAAGAGTGTGAAGCATGTAATGCAGAGGCGTATTAAAAAAAATAGTTCAGTGACGAATGCCTTTGTATGGCTTCTGCCAGCACTCGCAGCCTGCTGCCCCGGGCCATGGCCCACTTGATCCTTGGGTAAATACGCCCCGAGTTAATGTTATGTTGAGAATAATTACTAATAGCATATTCATGTGCACCGATTAGAATTTCCATATCAATGAATTTTAAAATCGTTATAGACATGAAGGTGTTCACTAATCACCAATTGAAAGGGTAGAAATTAACTTAGATAAACTTAGGTATAGCCAGTGGATAGACGCGGGTTCGAATCCCGCAAATTCTGACGTCACAATACCCCCAAATCAACGTTTTAGTTTACATACATTTTTCAAACATTTTAGTTAGCTTTAACAGCCATAGGAACTTTTACACTTCTTAAAACGAGTTTCACACACTTTTATATTGATCAAGAATGTTTTCATGTCCTTAACAGCTTAAGCTAAGCCCCTTAATACATACCTATTGATAGAAGAAAATTAATAATTTATACCAACTTACAATCTAAAGTCACACGTGTTGAGTGCCAATTTTAGTTAATTTAGAAATTTAGTCATGCATCAATTTCATTTTAAAGTTCTTTAGTTATTTATGCCAGATCGTGAAGGGTGGGTGCATGCACTCACTCGTACCACTGACCTCCCGTTTACACCCTTTTGTCAGCTGTTTCCCATCAAAGTCCTATGAACATCATCAAAATAAGTGAATAGGTACAGGAATTTAAGTGCGTTCTACTCGCGAATTTGACCTATGCTTTTGTTGATGTAGGTACTACTATATGAAAATAAGGGCTGTAGCGGAAAATGCTACCCTTAGCGGAAAATGCTATCTTTAGCAATGGCCATTGGCAATTCAGTCGGTTTTCGGAAGCATAATTCAGCGTGTTGCGTGACAAAAGAATTTGGTGGTCTTCCTATATTAAAAATCTATAATAAATATTATAAAGCTAATATTCTAGGTACTTGTTTTGATTTAAACAGACCACCAACTTCAGCTGTTCACATAAAGGCCGTTTTACATTAGCGCTATGAATCGAAAATCACTTAATTTTAGGTAGTTTACTGGTGTCGTTTCTGGCGTGATTCTCTAAACTTAAAACTAAATTTAACATCAGTCTCTCTTTTTCATTCTGTATAGAGAATGACAAGGAAACACTGTTGTCAAATTTAAGTTTAGATTTAGAGAATCGTGCTAGAATCGACACCAATGTCATTTAAAGCTCGGCTAGAAACTCACGGCGCGATTGTTCTCACGAAGCGTTTGTCTCCCGCGTCCGCCGCGGCAGCGGGAAATCTTTTTTTTTTCAAAACTGACGAGACCGCAATTTTCTGCTCTATAGTTTTTATTTGATAAATCTGTTTTGTTTTAAAGTCCATTTCTAAAGTTTTGAGAGCAAAAGTCAACAAACAGATCAGGGAAAAGGGGAAACGTTAACCGTTGTGGAAAGCGTAGTAGTGATGGGAATTCATAGGGCCTTATCCAAATAAATCGATAAATTGACTGATTATCTCTAAAGAATACTTCTTTAGATCGCCTCTTTGAGAGATAAAGTTTTTGCTTACATTTGTTCTCAAAACGTTTGTGATGGACTAGGTATATTATGTCACTTATTAAGATCATATTACAATAATAAAAAAATGTGTATCGTAAAAATCGTCTTGAGTCAAAAAGTAAGTGTGTAGTCCTATTACCGATGATGTTCATGGTACCTTAAGTCTTTTGAATATACATGTATTTAAAAGTTGAAATTAGGAAGTAATTTATGTAATAATTCATTATTTATAAGTGCCTGAAAGAGTTGACATGTAGAAAGAAAGTTGGCTATAAAGTTTTAGGCGAAAAACAATCAATTATCTTTAGTCAAATTATTATTTTGTCGTTTCTTTACCCCTAAAAGTCGTAGAATGCCAATTTTCTTTTATTGAGTGACTGTACAATCACGGTCTCTAGTGTGAAGCCCCTTTAGAAAAGTTGTCTTTTTCTTTGAGTAGCTTGAACGCACTCTGATTGTTAATACAAATTCTATAAATAGGTATTTTTGCCTTTTATATGGCCATACTACACGTAAGTACTCATTAGGGTCAAGTCAAGATACATTGATGCGAAGTGTGAATCCGTAAAACTAGATCGGCATAATGCAAACTACCGCCATAGTTTTCATCGGTAATGTAATACAAAATATTATACAAAGAATTATTATAAGAGAAGTCGAGTGCCGCTCTTAAACGAACCTTGTAAAGGACTTTGCTCTAAACATTGCTACACTAGACCGTGATGGTACGTAAGTGATGTTATGTGATATCTGACGGTGACTGAGTTGTGATTGTGTATAATAATGATATTTATGAAAAACCTCCATACACCTCTCATTCTGTCCCAAACACTCACCAAAGTAGCCAGTTTTTGGGGTACTAAAACAATGGTGGCGATTCTGGTATGATTCTGTAAAACTAAAATTAAATTTGACAACAGTGTATCCTTGTTATTCTCTATACCACCAGCATGAAGAGGAGAGACTGATGTTAAATTTAGTTTCAAGTTTAGAAAATCATGCCAGAATCGCCACCAATGTGTAGTGAAGTAACTTCCTACATAAAAACACCCATGACGCGGTAGAAAACTGTCCATTACCGTCTCTCACAAACTGAGTTATGCTAGCGGGATTCGAACCCGGAGCCGTGGGTTCCGTAGTCCAGTCCAGTAGTTGTTTCGACCACTCGACCGCACGGCCATCCTACTTGCCGTATTGATACATAAATTTGTTTGAGTTATTACCGTCTTTTTTGTCTTTTTTCTTGCGCTCTCGACTGAAACGCTCCGGCTGCCGACTGAATGGACACAACCAAGGCTCACGCGCGTTCCGTTGTTTTGGCATTCTGTGTGACGTACCGATTACGTGGTTTTTATCAAAGATTTCAATCGTTAGATATGCTCCCGCCCCAATAATTCAGTGGTGTAAAAGGTGTAAATCTTTATTTTCTCTTCATTCATCATGTTGAAACCTTTTCGCAAAGTGTCTAACTTACGTATTTAGGTTTAATTTTCTTGTCTGGCAAGAACCAGTGTTTACAGCATCCACGAAACTGAATTCTTTTCAGATATTTCTTTTATCGCTAACATTGTATTTGACACAGTGTTTCTTTCAATAATTCCTTTACGTTACAATAGAAATTTTACCATTTTCGAACGAGCTCACTTGTTTTGACTGCAAACTGAATGGGTGGAATTGAAGAGATATGGCTATATTTTGACCCTTCAGTTCCAAGTTTATTTTATGGTAACATTAAGAAGAATTTTACTTTATATCTAATTACTCTCATAAATCAGTTAGACTACAGGCCTAATGTAGGGGCAGTGGTTTTCTGATCATGGATACTGTTGCAATAGTCAATAGTGTTCTTAACGGATTACCAAAACCACTTGAACTGTAGTGTTTTGTCAATTTAAGCAACATTAATTACCTACCTATTTGAAGAAAGTGCTCAAGGCTGGCATATCTAACGATGTAAATCTTCGGTAGCAAGTTTCACGACATACGAGGACAACGATTTGCATTTTCCATCAGCTCAATAAACTCACGTGTTGACGTCCTCCATTTTCTTGAGTAACCTCTCGTTCTCCCTGCTCAGTAGTTCCTGGTCTCTCAGGAGTTGGTCTCTGACTGTGAACAGTTCCGTGTTCTCCTTCCTCAGTGCTGAGTTTTCGTCCATGTGCAGTTGGACTAGGTCTACTAACTCGGAGCGAGGTAGCTGATACAGTTTGTTCGGCTCTATCTGTGGCGGGGTGCGTCTGTGACCTGTTAACGAATAATGGAAAGTTTTATATAGTTCTTCTGGACACGTAGAAGAATGTATGATAAAGATGAAAGAAAATAGAGCTTCTGTGTACGTCAATGTATCACTTTTTAATTATTGTATAATATAAAATTAGGTATACTGTTAAGATTTACAAAATGAAAAGAAGTTCAATCTACTTATGTAAGTGATACCTACTTCTAAATGTTGTTGTTGCAAGTTGCAAAGAAAAACGTCAAAATTTCAAACGAAAGGAAAAGAACTAATATTTTTGGAGACGCACTTAACCCTCTTTTGCATTATGCTGGTAAATTTAATTTTTCAACACATTTGCTCAAAAAATGCATTTACGCAGGTTGTGTACATTGTTCGCAAGTTTCAAATTACGGGCCGTACAACGCAGCGTGCGGTAAAACATTTTACTGCTCTCCATACATGGCGCCGTGCGTATCCTTTACGGTTTCTTTTTTAATTTCGGTCGAACCTCCTTAGAAGATTTTTTAATCTATACCTCTGTCCTCTGAAAAACAGGCGAAAGATGTAGTTCTAATTTTCACCACTCGCACGTGGCGCCATTTGGTAATGAGCGCTGTTTGCTTTTTAGAAAAAGTTTGCTTCGTTATTTTAATTGATTATAAGTACTGTTTTCTCGCAAATGTGTTGAAAAACGTTGTATAACATCGTTCGGAATTAGTATTTACAAAGTAGTGACTATGGTAAGACCTCGATTTCGTTTCGGGATTACATTCGTCTTGGCGCCCTAATGTCAATAACTATTATAGTTTGCTCGAGGAAGTCGAAGGCGCGGGTGGTTAGCGCGTTCGGCTGCGATCGTTGAAGTTAAGCAACTTTCGCAGTGGTCAGTCATTGGATTGGTGACCAAAAAACTTCTATCTCGAGTTCCGCCGTGCTTCGGAAGGCACGTTAGGCCGTTAGTCACGGCTGCATCTGCAGTCGTTAGCACCCGCCAATCCGCACTGGACTCGCGTGTGGTTCATGGCCCCAGCAGTGGGGACATTAACAGGCTGATGATGACGGCACTTATGATGGCAGGTCATTGTACGTACTGTAAGTGTCCATGCTATAGTCAGTCTGCACATGTAACGCCGTCCTCAGGTGCTGATTTTCCGCCTGGAGAGCTTCCACCTCCCTCTTCAAGCTCAATATGAGGGCGTCTCTTGCATCCTACAGAAATCACAACGAGTTCAAAGTCATTCGTCTAGCGTTCAGTAAAACTAAATCTCACTTCTGATGTCGGTGGCTGCCATTTTAGATATTAGTTTGATATGCATTACGCCATTACACGGCAAAATGTCGTTATGCCAGTAGAAGCAGTCAGTATTAGATTTCTGACATTTGTCAGAAATTCGAAAAAACAATGTAATGTCACTTTGGCCTGAAGTATACTAGCGTGTGACGTCATTTTAGTCTTGGCCAATCCCAGGCGTTTTCGGTCACGTGACCATGGACCAATTTTATAGAAAAGTTATTAATTATTTGTTCTTTCAGAACAGTAAAATCGCTGCTAATATTCATATTAAATACAGATGCCAACAATAGGGATGATGACTAATTTTTTTTTCTTCGTTTATCAGGTAGATTATTAAAAAGTATTGGACACGTATTTTTTATTTTTTCACATAATTTATATTATGTTTATACATTGCAGAGATATATTGATTTGAAAAGTCGCATGACGTCACGTTTTGGTACACTTTCAAGTGAAAATTCACTAAAAAGTGACGTCACGAGCTCCTACTCCCAAACTTTGACGCGCTATAACTTTGTCATTTTTTGGTTGATTGCCCAAAGAAAAAATACGTGTCCATTATTTTTTGAACATCTAATATAACTGACGACGGACTAAATAGAATTGCGTTTACTGTACCCCGTCATCACCCCTATTGGTACTTATTTTTCATACTGTCAAACAGCCTATTGATTTTGACACCCCCAACTCTAATGCTTTAAAATTGAAATATATTTAACTATCATTGTAAGAGAGAAGAGTTGATGAGTATGCGATAAACCAAAAAGTCTTACCATTTTGACGATGGGCTTGGATTTAATTTTCTTAGCTCTAGCGGCATATCTCAGGGTGTTGATGGTTTCACTCAAGTTAGATTTCGTTGGAGCTATACATGCTATCTGTAAAGAGGAAACATTTTTTTTTTTAATTTTTGAGGATATGTAAGTAATCCTGAAGCAGTTATTGACCGGGAAGACCCTATAGTCTTAGATTAAAACAAAAAGGGAAGATACGGTACGCTCATACTAGCATCAAATAAAATATGATCCGACTCAACTACATAAGCAACTCTCACACTCGCACACGTCTGTAATTATACATTCAATCGAGCGAGCGAGACAGAACTGTAACGCATCAACGCAGTGCGAGTGAAACGGCGAGTCCGTAAGGCTGAGCTGTATTTTTGTCCTTTTCTTGATAACAAAATGGCGATTACGTAAATAACATTCACGAAAAACCGTGATTTTTGAGAAAATAATGTTTTTACAGTTTTACGAATGGCAAGTGTTGCTGAGTCATTTGTTATTTAATTTTGAACTATTTGTGTTCTTTATAAAAGCATCCAAGGCGTTTCATCTTTATAACACAGAATATACGCAATATTGTTATATTGAGTGCACGTGCAGCTTGTTTGAATATCCAATTGTGACTAAAGCGAATTGTGGTCATGCACCACAATTTAAGCGGATCACTTTTGAGCCGCGAGTGACGTATTTTAATTTTTTGTTTATAATCTAAGCCTAAAGTATTATACTACCCTACTTTTCAAAAAATATTTATACATGCCAATTTTTATATAAAAAAAAATATGTAAAACAGCTGGAAATGCAAACAAATATAGGGCCAGCCTGATGGTAAACGGTCACCAGGTCTTATCTGTAGATGGCTTGCACTAGGACTAGGGTATCATGCCTGATTCCATTTCTTACCCCGTAGATAGAGCCCGTGAGGAGCTCGATGGCGCCAGTGGTAAGCACGTTCGGCAACTTTCGCAGTGGTCGGTCATTGGATGGGTGACCAAAATTTACTATCTCGAGCTCCTCCGTGCTTCGGAAGGCACGTTAAGCCGTTGGTCCCGGCTGCATCTGCAGTCGTCAGCACCCACCAACTCGTATTGGGCCCGCGTGATGGGTTATGGCCCAATCTCCCTAATCCATCCATAGGGAAGTGCCCCTGTGCCCCAGCAGTGGGGACATTAATAGGCTGATGATGGTGATGATGATGATGATGAAGATAGAGCCCGTATGATAAACAGTGGATATTACCGTTCCGGTAATGAGTTTTACAATTACGAAAACTATGATAGTTTTCGTGAGCTCGCACTCGTACTAAGGGTACTGATTTTATTGTTTTCGTTTCAATACAAATAAACAGTGTTTAAATTCTATCATTAAATCATTTGCGTCTTTTTAAATTTTAAGTATATTTGGTTACTTTTCACCAAAATTGACATAGAAACATAATTTATAATTACGAAAACTATGATAGTTTTCGTGAGCTCAAACTCGTAATAAGGGTACTGGTCGCGGCATGTTACTCTAGCGCTGAACGAAACGGATATCGGATATAATCGTAAACGGATGTCAGAGATAGCTGCGTATGGGCACAGAATATATACACTACGCGAAAAGAAGCGACACTTAAGCATGTGTGCTCGTAAAATCGCTCGCGGCTATGTGTGGGTGTCTGGAGGTGCGCGGGGGCGTTGCGCGGCGCGCGGGACGTGGAGAGGGCAGTCGCCGACTGCCTCGACCGAGGGCATGGCAGTAGCGAAATAGTAAAATAATAGCGTTGCACTGCATTGCACGCACAGACTGACTACGCTACGCAATCTTATTATTATTTAGATAATAATAAGAATTATAAAACGAATCGAAAAAGGAGAAAATATATAAAAGTTAGCAATTTGTCATAGTACCTACATTAAAAGATCAAAAATCGATTATAAAATGAAACCTATCCTTCATTACTTACCCCAGTATCCTTGAATCAGTTTACATTTAATAACTTACTATGCATAAATATTCATTGGCACAAGTCTAAATTCATGTTCGGTTCAACCCTAGCGCATACACGCTCCTGCTCAAGGTCACTGACGATGGAACTCTCACGTACAGAAAGTGTCACCGCTGTGGTATGGGTACACCTGGAGAGACAATCGGCGCAACACACGCTCACTTAGAATTTAATTTAGAAGAATTCTACGATAACTCACCATGAGTGTGACTCCATTGCCGGAGAGGCTGTCGGCCAGTAGCTTGGTGAGCTTGCTGTCCCGATAGGGAATATGCCCCCGTTTCTTACCATCGCTAAGCTGCGCTATACAATACCCTGTGAAGTAGAAATTACATTATTTCTATTTCATAAAACACTTTTTTCCCTAAATGGAAATAATTCATATGAATTCCGTGCTTGCTTTGTCTAATAATCTATATGTTTATTCGATGTCCATGAACCTGAATAAAGTTCGACATCCTTAATATCTTTGTCCACCACTGTATCATCGAGCTTATATCACCGTATCAAACATTTGAGAGCCAATGTAAACCACAATTGCAACTCTCAATGCCTATCGTAGAAAATACCTGGTAATTGATTCTAAGGTATCTGATCATTTAATTAATCAATTGATTTTGATAAGGCTCGTCTAGTTCCTATCACTAAGCTGTCTATGCTTAGGCTTACCTGCCTCTTTGTTTACTTTAACTCTCAAAACTTAAAACAGACTTCCTATAAAAATAACTTCATCATCATTATCATCAGCCGACGGTCGTGTACTGCTGGACATTCTTCAACAGATTTTCACACACATGCACTTTTCGCATACAGTGGGTCCAATGTGTTAACACATGATTAAGAAGTTCTGCCTGCACCGGAACGTCATTCCATTTCTACCAGTAGAAGCAGCTTTGACCCACGTGATCAAAAAAACCCCCTCTACACTTCACTCTCTACGCAATTCAAATTTTGTACGCTCAACTTTCTTTCGCAATTTTCGTTTAATTTTATTTATTTGTAATTATATTCGCAATATACGCATTATTCAAGTAAACAACTGAGCTTTATTGAAGAGTACGCATAACGCCGATACACAATGAAAAAAAAACAACTGAAAGTGAACTCACCCAAAACCATCAAGCTCCTATTAATATTATTCGCCTCTTCCAAAGTCTTGCCTGTAGAATGCGTCCGCTTAGTCATCTCGCTGCCGGCCAGGTCCACGAAGTTGATCTTGCCGTGCGTGGAGCAGTTGACGGAGGCGTCGGCGCGCAGCTCGCGGCGCACGCGCACGCTCAGCACCGTGTGCGAGCGAGACGAGTGAGCGTTCATCGCGTGCGCGCCCACCGCGCGGTTACGCATGCCTGCGTGAAAGGGAATATATTCAATTCGAAAATCATTTATTCAGTTTAGGCTTCTACAATCACATGTGAAAGTCGAAAACTACGCCATCGGTTCGGAAAACTACGGCGGGAGACCTTGTACTGAGAAGAACCGACAAGAAACTCGGCAAGGGCTGCTTTTTTCTCCCTGTTTTATTTCATACAGTGTCGTCAAATTGAAAGTTGACATCAAACTTGCAAACATGTGTTGAGGTCAACTTTCATGGTATACGTATTTATGATGATGAAACGGGGTATTAGGACTGGCTTGTTATACCGGCCCTAGTGCAATGAATCAAATCATAAGTTGCGGTCGTCGCGTGAGTTAGACCATGCCTTTGCGACCAACCCAGCTCCAAGAAGACGTCAAGTCTGAACAGGGCCAAGGCCACCCACTATGAAATCGAGCAGAGTACTCGGTTAACTAAGCTTCTTGTACAAGACACAAATGCGATCCTGTGTGGAATATTCCTCACACCTTTAGGACGACGTCGCCAAGTACTTCAACATATGTGTGCTGTTTTAGTCCGGGTAAAAGTCAACATTATTAAAACGAGGAGGTCTTATCAGGGCAAAGGCAAACTATAGGTTCACTATAAAGAAGGTGCACCGCACGCTCAGCACCGTTTGTAAGTGGGACGAGTATGTGTTCATCGCGAGCGAGTTACGCATGCCTGGATAAACATTTGTATTTATTTTAAACCAACGCAGTTGTCTTGTCAAGACGATAAGTTTTACGTGGCGTAAAGGTTTAATCAGGGCAATAGTAAACTTTATATTTGCCATCACACTTTGATGAACCTTTCAAATGCATATATTCTTATCAAACTGTTCTTGAAGCCATTAATATCTAGACTAATGAGGTAAAAAATATTTAACAGGTGTTACCTTCTTCCAACACTGCGAACAGATCGTCCAGCTGCTCACAGTCCACGGTGAAGAGGTTCTCCACGTAGAAACCGCGACTCTCTTTAGACCATCGGACTTGCAGCGGCTTTCTGGCACTGCCAGGATTCAATAGGTCTATAACCTGTGAAAAAGATTTATAATTTAGGTACACTTCTACTTTTCCATCTAAGTATGGGAAATTATCAGGAAAAAGTTACGTGACTCCGAAGTTAAATGCTCGTCGATGCTTATAGCTAACTTGTTGGACAGCACGGAGAAATAAGGTGTCAATAAGCCCCATGTTTGCGATACCTTTTTTGAGTTTAAATGCTCAGCTAGATTTGTTTGTTTTTCGTTATTGGAGCAATGATGACAGGCTTCCAGAGTAAGCAAATATTGCAAGAAATTTGATCAGAGTTGTGTAGATGTTTTGTTCAGTGTAGTGCCCTGAATTAAAACTTCGGTACAAGGGAAATGTTCTGAAATGTGCTAACCTTCTCATTATATATTTCCAAGAAGGAGGCTTTCAGTACGAAGTGGCTGTCGGGTCGCTCGTTGATGAGCTGGAAGAGGTACACGAACGAACGTATCACCAGACCCTGGCCTGGCGCCAGGGGACTCGCTCCACTCTCCACCTGGTGACAAAATCATCGAGATTGATATAACACACTCAAATGGTCGAAAGTATATGAAGTATTTAAAACATTTACGAACGGGTTTGCTACCATATACTTTGTTTTTTGCGAGTTCTTGAGTTTGCAATAGTGCCGAAATATCGGGGACTCGCAAAAACAAGGTACATGGTTGCAAGCCAACAGATAACAAAGAAACGAGTGTGCTTATGACCACAAGACTGAAGTGAAACTTCTTTAGCTCCATCTGTATGTATGTGTGCGACCGGTGACACTTTTCGTAACGCGTAACGCATTCGACAGTTTACCCCTAAGTCAATCGTGCCTATATTGGTCATTGTTTACCGAAGAGTCACCGGTGTCAATTTTCGTAACGCGTAATGCATTCGCCAGTTTACCATCCAAGCGTGCCTAAAGAAGTTTCACTTCAAAAACTGTAATGTTAGTGAAATAAAAGTTTAAAACAATTTTATACACAGGTACGAATAATAATAGTACGAACAAATACGAATAGTACGAACAACAGGTACAAATTTCACAATCGTTGAGAATACCTACTCAACGACTGTGAAATTCGTACCTGTTACGACCTAAATATTGTACCTACTGAGCTACGGTTCAAAGTCAGATAGGTATTAAATAAGCTATCACACCCAAGAGTTTAAAGGTCAAATACTCAAGGAGTAATAACGGGGTTTTTACTGTTGGTACTTCGAAGGTAAAGAGTTTATAGGCCAAATAATGTGTTAATTACCACTTCTTAAACGATACCAGTGATTTGCTCCTATCGGTTAAACTGGTAGGAATTATTATCGCATAAACCTGATACTCTGGAGCGCGATGGCGTAAGTGGTTAACGCGTTCGGGCTGCGATCGTTAAAGTTAAGCAACTTTCGGAGTGGTCAGTCCTTGGATTGGTGAGCAAAAATTTACTATCTCGACTTCCTCCGTGCTTCGGATGGCACGTTAAGCCCCGGCTGCATTTGCTAATTCGCACTGGGCCCACATGAAATAAAATGAAATGAAAAGTCATTTATTCAGTCTAGGCTGTAACTAGCACTTGTGAAGGTCAAGAAGGTACGCCATCGGTTCGCAAAACTACGGCGGGAGAACTTGTACTGAGAACAACCGACAAGAAACTCAGCAAGGGCTGTTTTTTTTCTCTCTGTACATACATGGTGGGTCATGGCCCAATCTCACTATTCCATCCATATGAAAAGTCTGTAAAATAAGCTGATGATGATCAAACGTAGTACCCAAGGGCAAAGGTCTTAAATGAACATTTATAAGCTAAAACCAAAACTCTCTTGACCGGTGGACAAAAAGGAGTTCTAATGATCCCATAGCAACAATTTAATCGCCCACCATCATTTTTTTTGTTTCCAACGTATCATTAAATGGGTACCCAATCGTTAACTGTCGCTTAACTATCGATTCACCCGCCCCGTCACTATATAGAATGATACCGATGTGATTGATAGGCGTAAAATGATTTATGACTTATTGGAGAAACTCCATAATTGTAATCACATTTGCGATTGCTATCGATCACTGTACAGTAAAGAAATTCTGTAAAATAAAATTTCACTTGCGATTTTGGTACTACCTATATATTAGTGTCGTAGCACACGGGCCACACACCACAGCCACAAACTCCGCCACGAGAAGCTAGAAGCGGCTACTAAAGTGGCTGAAGCGCGCGACAACGGCCGACTAAGGTAAGGGAGAGAGGGGAGGGGAATCGCGCGAGTGACGTGTGGCGGCGTTTTGTATCGGCGCATTTAACTTAATGTCGCCGCACACGGACCACCGATCACAACCACAAAACGCCGCCACCGGCATATTTCTTATAGTTTTCATACATTTTATATGGACTCGTCACATACGGTTCGCCGGTGGCCGCCACACGCTACAAATCGTCTCCCTTACCTTAGTCGGCCGCTGTCGCGCGCTTCAGCCACTTTAGTAGCCGCTTCTAGCTTCTCGTGGCGGCGTTTGCGGCTGTGGCCTGTGGCCCGTGTGCGGCGACACTAACAAAATGTCGCTATGTCTGAAGAAGCAGCCAGTATTATATATTTGACATTTGTCAGAAATCCGAATAAATGAGATCGTAAGTAAGTTTTTTTTTTGAGTGTGTATTGTGTTGGTCGCAGATGACCTTTACAACGTCACCGGCTTTGGGGACGGTGAGATCCTAAAGAGACCTCAAGCCGAGAATTGGCGAGTGCCTAAAGAGGTATTCCAGGCGTATGCCATCTCCACACGGGGGAGTCTCCTTTCCATCTGGAGCCTCTACACCACTCGAACCTGAGAGGTCGGCTCAACTATCATTTATTTTAAAATAAGAATGTTTATTTAATCACTAACATTTCCATTGAGATTCATCTATGGATGACAGAAAAATTAACATCGAAAGATGAGAACCAGTCAATCTGTTTCTCATGTCGGTGACGATTTGCCCAGCTTCTGAAAATAGTCTTTCAGAAGGCACAGATGTGGAAATGTTTGATAAATGTCTGATTGCCACTCTATAAATATTTGGATATTGGTTTTTAATAGTATCCCAGGCTGTAATGGTTTTGTTATTGGGATTTATTTCTATGTAGGTACTTAACATAATTTCATAACTAGAAAAATTTCCACGCGGACCAGGCAGCAGACGGGACTCGAACCCGCACCCTTCGCAATCCGGGCGAATGCACTGACCAATTATGCTACCGCGGCCCTCACGGACCGCGTCGAAATTCTTCTAGCCATTCTTAAGCTGCAAGGCAGCGCCATCTCTTCGCATTATAGGTAACCCACATTTGACATTGTCCGCGTGGAATACAATGTAATATTGTTTTTATGGAATAAATGACTAATGACTATGGTCTTTTGCCACCATGAACATTTTGTTCCAGTTTGACATCTAGAAGAAACATACGTAGCTTGTAACATATTGTAACATACTGCATAAACGTTATACATTATTACATATAGACAGAGATGGTTTTAAAAACTAAAGTAACAGTGGGTATTGTATGAACAAAGCTGTCGGCTGTCGAAGCTTGTTATGATGATTTTTGAGACGTGTTTCATCTTTAGGCATTGTCTATGTATGAGCTGACAAGACCATAATGAAGGTAATTGCGAATCGATTAATCGATGTAAAATAATCGATTACATCGATTATTTTTATTTTGTAGACGAATCGATTAATGCGCAAAATTTTACAAACAATTAATCGATTAATCGAATCGATATCGAACATCCCTAGTATAGCGTGTCGTGTGTAGACCGGGTCTTCGCACTCTTATCCTACGGGTGCGGTGTCTTCCTAGTGCTAAGCTAGTGTGCAATTATGCTAGCTGTGTAGTGTTGGTGTTTGTGGCCTGTGTGGGAGGAGTCGGAGGCGCGTTGGCGCGGGTGATTTCATCGTCGGGGTACTCTAAATCGGTTTCAGAGAAATTAAGTGAGATTGAATCTTACAGAATGCTTATGCTGGCGCTGTGGACAAGTGGCCATCTTTCTGTTCTATCTAAAGCTAACTTATAAACGGTCGCTTTATCGCAGCTGGTGAAACAAATGCCTCAGAGTCTCTGAGCAATAATATTTAAGTATAATCAGCAAAATTAAAACCTGACCCACCATAAGCTAATCTTTTAAACTTTTCTTTCTTCTTAAACTTTAGCTTTCTACAACTATTTCAAAACAATAAGGTAGATTTTTGCTTGAATGTCCGGATCCTTGGAAACAAACTTGTTTAAATCTAAAGAAAATTTTACTACAAGAAATTCCACGCGGACCAGGCAGCAGACGGGAGTTTAACTTGCATCCTTCGCTATCCGGTCGAATGCACTGACCATTATGCTACCGCGGCTCTGATGGACGTGTCAAAATTTCCCTAGCCTTTCTTAAAATATTCTTAAGAGATCTTAAGACTTTTTTACGTTTCCCTGAATATTTAGGAAGCATTTAACAAAATAAATTGTAATTGAAGCTGTCCAAAATTAATTTACGTACCTACTTAATTGAATCAAAATTCAAACAATCATTGCTTTCTATGGCCTTAAAGTAACATTATAGATTAGAACCATTATTGTTAATAAGTTTACCTGTACAACGCAGTTTGTGACAAATCTCATTAGTTATTCCTCTTTGTATGATTATGTATTCATAATTCAGTATGTCACCGAAGTTGTTATTACAATGTCATCTTTTATTAACATAGAACAGAACAATTTGTCAATGTACTTACATTAGTACAAATTCAAATACATAATCTAATTGTAAGTGTCATAACGGTGATGTTTATCTTATAATGGTGTAAAGTACGTGTAACCTTGTAGAAAATCCTATGACGTCATTTAGTAACAATTTCAGTTCATAGTTGACGTAATTTAAAAATGAATGTAAACACAATTGGAATAATAATAACTTACACGACACAACATTATTAGGCAACGATAAATCAAAACTCATATCAAACAAAAATACACGAAATATTAAATATAGAGGATATAATCTAGAGAAATTCGATGAATACTTTATTTTTTAAAATCTAGCAGTTTAATCAAGCATTAGCTTTAAATAACAATATCTAAACTAATATTTTAAAGAGGAAAGATTTGATTGTTTGTTTGTATTGAATAGGCTCCAAAACTACTGAATCCTTCATTATCCGTGATGAACATGGGCTATAGTTTTTTTTTTTAAATAGTTAAGGTTCCGTATGAACCCCTGCCGGGGGTAACGTGGGGAGTCACCAGGATCCCACGAAACCCGTTCCGGCAGGCGAGAAAGCACTGTTGGATTTTTAAGTGGGTTGGGGGGAGGAAGAGTCCTACATAATCGTCTCTCACCCAGGAGCGGGGTATGCGTCAAGCATTTTCCCAACAATAAAAAAAAGGCTTTCGTATGAAAACTTCGACCAATGTAACCCAACGTAAAAATACCAAAAAATAAACTTATGTCGCGTACGTACGATGTTCGCTGGGTCGGCTAGTAGGTATGTAATAAAATATCTGCATGTTAAGAAAAGCGCGTCGACCCGTAAGTCACAATACATACAAGCGCAGTAGCTTAACTCAGCCGTTTTCTTGAAATAGATCCCCACGTCTGAGCGGAGCGCTAGGATTGGTACTTACAAAATGTAAAACATATTTGTGTAGATTTTTATTGTATGTGTATAGTTACTATTGCCACGTTACGGAATCGAAACGGAGGCAGACGGCGCGGGCGGCGGCGCGGCGCAGCTTACATAATTCGGCCAACAACAACCAGTCTCGGCGGCCGGCGACGTGGCACTGCGTAGATTTGTCTTGCCAAGATTGGTTAGCGGCCGTGTAAATGACGTTTGTCTGTGTGCGTGCGTCGATTCGGGCGCTAGTATGAAGTCAAAGTACTGCTCTTGTATGTATTGTGCCGTAAGTCTTGGCTGTAACTGACCCAGTATCACACTGCGTCCATGTACATGGTCATATCCTTTGATTAAAACAACTTGATTAAATCTAAGGTTGTATCCCTGTCATCGTGTGTAAACAAAATACAGTATCACGTCATTATAGAACTGAGTGAAAAAGATATATTATATATAGGTGGGCGATAGCGTCCTTATTTTCTTAAATATCTTTTTATTATGAGTCGCTACAGTTAACAGACATAGATCGAAATCGAGATCTTCAATCTAGATCTGTATTAATTGTTATCTCCATCATAGTTATATTAGTAAAAAACTATGTTTAAAAGTGACTGTAGACTTAAGTTAGTCTATTAATTTCATTTTGAATATTTTTGAAAGCTTTAATTTTGCCTATTGTGAAAAAAGCATGTCTTTTTATTTATTGCCTGCCTTTGTGTGCGGTATGTATGAGTATGTTGTGTTGTGTGCCATCATATGCAACTATTACACATGGGCTCACTCAAAATCGATAGTCAGAAGCGGTCACGATCATTACCCGCCGGTGTCATTATAACAACATGTTAAATTACGTAGTTCACATTGTTTTCGTCTATTTGCTTTTCTATTTTTAAATAAATTATAATAGATGTGTACATGAAAGCTTATTTTCGTAACCATCATTTTCATGAAAGTACCTAGATTAAAATCATAAGGAAATAGTGTATTCATCATTAATATTAGCATATTGTCTTTACTGCTAGAGGACACAAGCCTTCTTTATGGATATCATTAAAAAGGGACAGCAAACCACAACTTAACTCAGTGCACATTAATAGTTGCTAACGACTGCAGATGTAGCTGGGAGTAACGCCTTAAAGTGTTTTTTAAATCATTATCATCATCAGCCCATTAATGTCCCCACTGCTGGGGCACAGGATTTCCTTATGGATAGAATAAGGAGATTGCACCACCACGCGGGCCCAATGCGGATTGGTGGGTGCTGGCGGCTGCAGATGCAGCCGGGACCAACGGCTTAACCAGCCTTCCGAAGCACGTGGAGCTCGAGATAGCAAATTTTTGGTCACGCATCTAGTTTCCAAGTGTTGAAACCTGAACACAAATGCGAAGATTGCAAGCCATCTAGGTTCACCTAGGTCCTAGGGTGACTAGATGGCGCTGTCGTAACATATCTACATAACTCACCAATCCCGGTGGTCCCGTGAGGGTGTGCGTCTTGCCGCTGCCGGTCTGCCCGTAACAGAAGGCGGTACAGGAGAAACCTTCTACAGCCATCTCTAGGAGCCGCTTGATGCCAGAGTACTCCAAGACGTCCTCCTGTTAAAACAATATATTTTTTGTCATCACCTATTTATTACTTACCAATCATGGGAGGTACTTATTCGATTTTAAATCATTATCAACCTTTGTTTTAAACTTTCATGGTCACTAACATTATAGTAATATAAGTTATTTACGGGATTGTTACCATGTACCTTGTTTTTAGCGAGTTTCCGATATTTCGGCACTGTTGCAAGCGCCATGATCACGGAGTAACTGAAGTAATTGCGGGTAGGCTGTTATTGGCAGATACTCGCTAAAAACAAGGTACATGGTAACAATCCCGTAAATAACTTATATTACTATAATTATCAACCTTTGATTTGGATAGGTTACAGCGGCGCGGGATCCGCATCATAGGCGATGAGGAGGTGACTAAACACCTCGAGCCTCTTCAATTACGCCGTGACATGGCGTTATTAAGCGCGTTCTGTCGTTTGTACCACGGCGAGTGTTCATGAGGTGTTATTCTCTCTTATTCCACCTTCCCCATTCCCTCAGAGGGCCACGCGCGCTGGCCTACGTTGTCACCGACTAACTGTGGCCACTATTCCAACGCATACAAAGAAGTTGGTTACTCATTTCTTTGTCGCACTATCCGTAAATGGAATGCTCTACCCGCTCACGTGTTCCCTCCCTCTTACAACATGGGATCCTTTAAGAGGCGTGAAAAAGCAACATGCAGGCCGGCAAGGTGAGGATGGCTGGTGTGGCAGGTAGAACTAATGTACCAGCTATCTTCGCGTCTCGACTTCACCGTCACTTAACATCAGGTGGGGTGGAGTCTTTTGTCGAGCGTATCTATAAAAAAAACTGTTAATGCCCCCACTGCAGGGGCCTTCTCTATGGATGGAATAGGGAAATTGGGTCATGACTTACGCGTGCCCAGTGCCGATTGGTGGGTGCTAACGACTGCAGAAGCAACGGGGATCAACGGTTTTACGTGCCTCCTAATCACGGAGGAGCTCGAGATAGTAATTTTTTTTGATCACCCATCCAATGACCGACCACTGCGAAAGTTGCTTAACTTCAACGATCGCATCCAAACGCGCAACAAAACTATTATGTGCAACTGATCGGACGTTCGCCGATTTTCCAGAGCTTCTCAATTGAGTACTTAAGTACACAATTTAATATTTTTCATTTTTCGTTATTCAACGCTAAATACCTACAGTGATTTTATCTTTTTACTGAACGTAAAACCATGCTGTCCATTAACAGTGTACTTAAACATAAAATAATTTCACCAATTGACTCTCGAAATGGTGGTCATGTAAAATAGTCAGAGGCTCTAAATGGCACAAAAATTAACTGCGTCACTTGGTAATCGCTTCGCCAAAGCTACCAAAAGAAGTAGCTTAAGAGCCAGTGGACGGCTACCTGTATGTATTTGACCAGACCTGGGGTTCTGTACAGTGAGGCCCCTATACCTACCATATGTGAGATGGGGGTTCACTTAGCCCCAACTGGTGGACGCGGCGCGCGCTCAGGTAAGACAGGTATCGATTTTTGGCGAATTTGAAATGCATTTGACCACGTCTGCCGTTTTGATATTTGAAAATATATTATTATTAAATCATATAGTCGAGGTCAAGTCATGGTCACAGATTGTGAAGTGGGTACGGACGGACCCAGCCCATTCAGCGAGCTCCAGGGCTGGCTGAAGGGGACAGGGAGGAGTCCCACATACCTTCTCGCTCCCCCAGTGGTTGAAGGACGCGTAAGGCATTTCCCAGACACAAAAAAATAACATAAAGGTCACTACGTAGGAGTGGCATACGTAAATGAATTCGTTATAATAATTCGTTTATCCGTATGACAAAGTATCTACATTAAAAAAGGACGACTTAATTTTAAGCCCAAAATTGATTTCATATCTTTGCACACTTAGTCTGCAATAAGAGAGAGATAAATTAACAAATAAATGAAAAAACCTTTAAAAAAACATGTATTGGCCATCTTACACAATAAAAAAAACTATAAATAGAAACAGGAAATAAAAGAGAAACTTAACCTAAAAACAAAAACTAACAACATAAAACTAAGACGGCCAATCAGAACCCTGCCTCAGCTTATGCAGACACAGTGGGAGAATACTCTCTCACTTTATCAGCGCTGGTATTCTGGCAGGGCCTGTGCGAGGACGTATTAGGCTCTAACAAGCAACAAAATAATACATAAATGCTTATCTAAATAAATGATATACATGAATATATATCGCTTAAGTGATTTTTAATAGAGAAAACTAGACAATGTATGTGACCCAGTTAGGGTTGCCAGATGATGGCTTATCAATTCCGGGACATTTGCACCCCGAAAAAATAAAGTATCAAATCCCCTATCACATCCTAGAAATAAAACATCAAACGGGTGTCATTCGTTATTACTTTATTTTGTTACGAAACTAGCACGTCTTATTCAATTCAATCAAGTCTAATTACTGGACACTGGACCACGCAAAATTCCGGGATAATCCCGGAAATCCCGGCCATCTGGCAACTCTAGACTCTGGCAATCCTAGACCCAGTATCATTTGCCTTCCCTAAATTTCCCTAAAATAAGATTTTATTTGTTTTTTTTTGTTTGTCAAAGTACCTGTGTCGCCAGCGGTTCGAAGACTACGTTATAAGAAAAGACCTTGGGCCTCTGTCCGGGGTTCTTGGCGTGGCAGATCACCTGCCCGTTGCCTGGAAACTCCAGGATCTCCCGCTCGCCACTCTTTCTCTCCTTTTCGCTTAGGGGACGTATCCTGAGGAGAAAATGGGATTAAAGATTTATAACTACTTAATGGAAAATTATGGTGTTAGCTGACATATACCTATACGCAGTGGAACACCAGTTAAATCTTCAATGAAACACACACGTCCTTATGCATACGAGAAAAGCTTTAGTTTGTCAATTATAAGTTAATTATTCTAGTTATAATTTTTATTTTTTTAAAGCATGTAACTGCTTTATGTTTAAATCTAAAGAAAATATAACTAGAAAAAATTCTACGCGGACCAGGCAGCAGACGGGACTCGAACCCGCACCCTTCGCAATTTCGCCCGGATTGCGAAGGGTGCGGGTTCGAGTCCCGTCTGCTGCCTGGTCTGCGTGGAATTTCTTCTAGTTATATTTTCTTTTAATTATTCTATTTTGAATTATTGTAGGGTAGGTATTAATTTCATTCAGCGGCCCAAAAGTCCGAGGTCAAAATAATCAAGGTACAATCAAGGTACTCCACTAAATATATCCACAGAAATTGTAATACTCACGTAATAGATAATTATACATCTGTTATGTTGTATAATTACTATACCTGCCTGTTCAATTATTTATCGAGGCGTTTTTATCGTATGACCGAGGGAGCGCTTGACGCAAAACAGGGTGAAAATGACCTTTAAATCGATAGATTTGTGAAGATTTTTACTTTCTCTACCATCATCAACATCATCATCAGCCTATTAATGTCCCCACTGCTGGGGCACAGGCGGTTCCTATGGATGAATAGGGTGTTGTCATGATCCAACACGCGGGCCCAGTGCGGATTGGCGGGTGCTAACGACTGCAGATGCAACCGGGACCAAAGGCTTAACATGCCTTCCGAAGCACGGAGGAACTCGAGATAGAAGATTTTTGGTCACCCATCCAATGACCGACCACTGCGAAAGTTGCTTAACTTCAACGATCGCAGCTGAACGCGCTAACCACCTGCGCCATCGAGCTCCTCCTATCTACCATGCCTAAACATAATTATTTTTTATTTTATTTATTATATAAAGGATGGTAATCGGGAACAATGAAGATATCACAAACACCCAGAGTTGAGAATTAAAAAAAAAAACAAAAAATCAACCCAGTGCGTGATGCGTAAGCTAGTGTACGAAGACAACGAAAAGTTCTGTTCCATCTTAGAAAGTAATAATCATAATGCAACATAGCATAGGTACAGCGTTATTTTGCAAAAATTTGCAACTTTTTTTTCAAAAACATGTTTATTGTTCGTGTTCAATCATGTTCGCTGTTCAACATATACACAGACGCACAAACCGGCATCGGAGTCACCGTTTGGATATGGAATCATTGAAATAGCTTTTCTACATTTGCATGCAAAGCCGCCACACTGTGGAATATTTCGGTGTGTTTCGGATTAAAAATCTGTAACTCCGTCAATTTGAAAGATAGACTTATAAAATTTTGCTATAATATAAAGTGATACATAAGGATTCATATAAGTAATGTTTGATGAATTGGAATTATGCGTATTTTTTTTTAATTAAAAAAGAAAAGTCACAAAATGATTTAAAATAGTATTATTAGTATTATTTATTTATTGAAATATTTTTTAGAAACATATTGTACGTCTATTTCTTAACGTTAATTACTCTATTAAGATAACTATCATATTATATTGATAATATAAAATTAAAAATGGTAAAATATTTTTAACACTACGCTAACATACAGAAACAAATCAAAATTATCGCAATATATATTTCTTTTTTTTTGCTCAGCAAGATTGACATCTTACACCCGGTGAGCTTCAGGATCTGAAATAAGTTCATTAACCTTGAGAAGGTGTAAAGTATCTTCATCGAGCTCCTTTACATTTTTTGCATATGGTTTTCTTATGCTCGTTATATATGGATCTGAAGTGTAAAGTAGTGTATTAAACACATCTTCGTTTGTAGCTATTCGAGAGCATTTCCGAGCATGGTGTAAGCGAAATTTTTTATAGTCCTTATAGCGAGATTCTTGAGCATCTTCTGAAAGTTGCCCAATTGGTAATACCGCGAAATGGTTTATGATACTCTCTCCGTGAATTAAAATTTTGTGGACAGATGATGGCATGTAATACCAACTATATTTACTCACGTATTGCAGTTTCCAGAGCATAATTACCAAATTTCTTACTATCTACCACTATACCAGATGACAAAGCCTGCAAAATTATATATAACCGTTTAATTAAATCAATGTCAATCCCTGTGATATCAGCAGAACAGGCAGCATTGTAAAAAAATCTCCTAGCAGTATTGCCATCATTACTATTTCCCGTCCCCTGTCGTGGTTTATCGATATTTAGACCCAACTCTTCACGAAATCGCTTTTGTACTTCAGCCTTTTTGTCTTGTTTGAGTCTTTTTTTTTCTTCGCTTGTAGCAGACCACGTTTGGAAAGATAGATTATATGATATGTGTAATATCATTCCCATGCAACGAATCCAGGCATGTAATGTGGATAATCCGTATTGATAAGCATTTTCATTTTCAGGCCTAGCTATTACTTTCGTTAAATCATTCATTTGTCTAGGAGTTGCTCCGCATATTGTACATGTGGAACTAGAAGGCGTATCTGTTAAAACTTGTGCCACTTTTCCGTCTATCATCGTCAAAAAAAGTTCATGTTTGACTTGGACTCCCACGCCTTCTATATTACTTATTGATGGAAGCAAAGTTTGTATTTGATTTTTTATTTCATCTACAACCGATTTAGTTTTTTCTGGCGTTTCTTTGCAAAATTCTATAGATATAGGCCGACAGAAACGAACAGATGAAGGCACTGGATTTTGCTATATGATGGCGCCTGATTCCACGTCAGTTAATCTGATAGGCACAAAAGAAGTAATAAATAAATTTGCATCGGAAATAAGTTCAGACTCCTCTGGTAGTGCTTGCTTGTACTGGCTTTGTCCAGATGACCCATCACAACCCCATCTGCTATACAAAAGTAAATGTTTTTGTCCATTCTTGTAAACCTTATCTATTGATAAAATTCGAGCTGCAGTGTGATCCAATAGATCTTGAACTCTCAATATTTTTGCATAAGTATTTATGATTTCGATTGTTGATGATGGTGGATAGCACCTCTGTTTCATTTCCTGTATTTTATAGTATGGTGGAAATAAAGAACAGTTTCTTTCATCTGTAACGTTCCTGAGATACAGATATTGTGCCTTTGTTAGTTCCAAGTCGATGAAGACACTTAATGCTTTTTCATCTGTGAGCCCTTTAATTATTTTTGCATCATCTAATTGATTTATAACGAAAACCTTTTTCTCTGCATCAGCCAACCTTAATTTTTCAACAACTTTTGCTTCAATTCCTTCTCCTATAGAACGCAATCCTTGAAGATATGCGCTTCGAATGTGCTCCAAACCATATTCATTTAGCAAAATGGTGTTTTTTCTTTTTTTGCTTGATTCTGAAGAGTCTCCATATGACACACACGGTCTTCCTCGTTTACCAGAAGAAGTAGACGGTGTAGAGTCTGTTGACATGTTTTCTGATGTTGGTATAGTTAACGAATATTCAGAATCCAACCAATTGGTGTTCTTTCTTAAAAAGGTATTTTTATTGCGTCCTGCTTCACTCCAGCGTTTATTAAACGAAGGGATGACATCCCTTTGAATATGGTCAATAATAAAACATATATTGACATCCGAAATTTGTTTTCCCTCCAAATATGTTGAAAGTGCCGCAGTCGTTTTTCCGCCTTCTATATAAGACACTATTAACTCACGTTTAGTACAGTTAAAAGTAGACATGTTGAATAATGAAATAACCGTACCTACTAGAGTACGTAGACGTAAAGACCACTGAAACGGTAATGGAGACATATTTTTTCACTGCCCTTTTTATATTGTTTCAGAATGTGGGAATTATTTCAGATATCTATTTTCTCACGGAAAATGACATCGAAATGATAAAACCTACATAACAATATCAAATAATTAATTCATAAAATGTACCTCAAACTATTGATAATAAAAATAAACTACGAAACCGCATTTGATAGCGATTTCCGTTCCCAGACTAGTATTCGATTTTTTTACATATCTCCGAAAACCGCAAAAAGCCGCAGCTAATTTTTTTATATGTTTTAGATGAGTAACTAACCTATAATTTAACATTAAATTCAAAGCATCGGTAAACAACTCTAAATGTTAAAAGATTCGACGAAGTTGAGGAAAAAAAAATATTTCTCCATTTTTTCTTTAAATTGGTTTTTAAATTTATATTCGTATTAAAAACAATCAATTGTATTTATTTCTAACCTCTGATAAATGTGCTTTTCAAAAATATATAATACCTTATACCTTTCATTTCAAGTTTTAAAACTATTTCACGTTGAAAAACGTAAATGAAGAACTTAATATTTCCCAGCTGCCTAAACGTTTAACTTTGCTACATGAAAAAAAATATTTTTACGAAATAAAATATGAATTACGCTGCAGAATATTAAACTTCGACTTTTGAACTATTAAATTATATTCATATATTACCCAATTTCAATCAGTAATAAAAATCAATTTTGATATGCGTTTGTTCTACCATATTCCACCGTGCGCCATAGTGATAACCATGGTAAGACATCCAGTGTGCAATCACGTTATTGTAGTTTGTTCCAATTTAAGATTAGCGCGTTCGGATGCGATCGTTGAAGTTAAGCAACGTTCGCAGCGGTCGGTTATTGGATGGGTGACCAAAAAGCTTCTATCTCGAGTTGCTCCGTGCTTGGGAAGGCTGTTAGTCCGGCTGCATCTGCAGTCGTTAGCACCCGCCAATCCGCACTGGGCCGCGTGGTGGGTCATGTCTCAATCTCCTTATTCCATCCATAGGGAAGGCACGTGCCCCAGCAGTGGGGACATTAATAGGCTGATGATGATGATGAAAAATTATTCAGAAAAAAGTTTAACAATATATAAAACTCAAAGGTGACTGACTGACAGACATAGTGATCTATCAACGCACAGCCCAAACCACT